TAGTTCAGAGCTGGTATTGTTCAAAGCAAGCTAGAAAGTCACTGTAGAGCTCAGATTCTGTTTTTATGGCATAACAAAGCAACCAAAGGGAGACTTAGTAATATTCCTATATTAATTTTATTACTCAGCTCTGACCACAAAGATGTGATGCTCTCCCCTCCAAGCCCCCTGACCAGAAATTGACTGTATAAAAATGAAAAGAGAGAAAGCATGGTATACAGTGGTAGCATCAAGCTCAAACAGAAAGGAGGACCACTAGATCATACATAGGGATCCCTGTAAGTGGGTGCATATTGACTAAGAAAACCACATATTAACATTATCTTTGTTTTATTATGTTTTTATTTATTTTGTTAAATACTTCCCAGTTACATTGTAAAACTTGAGATGGTTGTAGGCTGCATGTGCCCTGTATTTGATACCTCTGGTGTAGAGGGTACAGAGGTAGCCTTGAAACTGTGAAGATCTGGGTTCAAATCCTACCTCTGACATTTATTTAGTGGCTGGACAAGTCACTTAATCATCAGTGCTCTGGGTCAGAGGTGTCAAAATGGCAGGCCCCTCGCCTTACAAACCTTCTCTAGTGCCCTCAGAACCAGATTAAACTATAATTGGGAAACATTTAACAAAATAAATAAAAATACAGTAAAACATGGATAATGTTAATTTGTGACTTTCTAAGTCAATATGTGGCCAAGGGGGATCAGTTTCTATTTGAGTTTGACACTACTGCATTTGCAGCAAAGGTGTTGAACCCAAGAGGAAGAGGAAATTTCTTTGCTGAAGAGTTCCCTAAATGAATGAAATCACAGATCTAGTCCACGGCTCTCTCCCTATTTAAGTAACAATGGCTTCTATGAATTTCATCTTTGAAGGAAAGACTAATAACTTTCAGCCACACGAGGCTGACTCCAAGCTAAGCAGAAGCGGTACAACCCATTCCAAAGATTATTGGTATGAAAATAATGCAAGAGAATTGATTGTTTGGATCAAGAGTAATGGGAGATGTTTAGAGGTGGGCCCAAGGTAAAAAACTGAGAGACCTTGACTGAAGAGTTGTAGCCAAAGAACAACTTTCATCTTTGAGTGCATTTGTTTGCAGAAATCAGGCTCCTGGGCTGGGTACCCTCACACCCAGGCCTTGGCCTCCTTCCAGAATGTGCAGTTACTCTGCCCTACTTAGAAAGAACTATTTGGGATGAAAAGAAGTTGAGTCACATGTTCCTTTCAGATTTCTCGTCTGTACTATCTGTAGGGTTAAGGTGAACTGGCATGGGATTATTTGAGTCTCTTTTGTCTAGTGGTCTTGTTCAGATGTGCAGATCGGTAGTCTTGCCTCAAACTAGAAATGGACATTGATCCTAGATGATAATGCCACATTCTTAGGCTACTAGGCTAATCTGGTCCCAAGGTTCCAGGAACTTGAACTGAAGGATGAGGGAGACCCGAAGTGAAGTTCCGGAGAAAACTGTGGCTACTGCTCCCCTGGTGCATGAGTATGTCTGGCTCTAGAGAGACATTTTAAACAAAAGTGTAGTTCTTCTGCATCTCTTCCCTCCTGCCTGGATTAGAAAGTAAGCTCTCTAAGGTCATGGACCAAACCTTATTCATCCCTGTATCCTCCCCAGCACTGAGAATGGAGATTCATACAAAGTTGGATCCTTTGCTGTAGTGGAGAGGGTCCTAGAGTTGGAGTCTGAAGACTTACTACCTATGTTACTGTGGGGAAACTAGTCAACCTTTGTCTGCCTTAGTTTCCTCATCTGTAAAATTAGGGGGTTGAACCCCATGGCCCTTCCAGCTCCATATTTATGACGCCATGAACCTAATAGATACTGGCTAAATGAAATGGGCAGGATATCAAGTCTGTGGACTGGGTTTGCTGGTGATAACTTTAAATTAAGCATTTGACCTAAATGAAATGTTGATTCAGACCAGGTTCTGATTGAAAGACTCTTCTGGTTATATTAGAGGTCAGTAATTTTAGAAAATCTATACATGTTATAATTCCAGATGGCTCACTAGATACTTTCGGAAAAACATGGCTTTAATGTTAAGCAAATTACTTTAGTTCATTCTAGTTTTGGGTTCAAACACTGAACTAAAAATTAAAACTAACTCATTAGAAACTAACTCATTACATTGAACTAAAAAAGAAAATGTGAATACTGGAAAGTCTTATCAACACTTAGTAATGATTGTACCATCTTGCAATTTAGCAAATAAGAGAGAAATATTAAACACCAAGGTCAGCTCATCATAATGTTTTGCGTATATTGAAATGAATGAGTGTAGAATTCTAATGTTTTTTCTGAAAGCATAATGTACAGTATTATTAATGAGATCTTGGGCTTGGGAAATCACTTATTCAGTGTTTTCTGAAAAATGCTTCCTGGAAGAGGGCAGTGCACCTGGGGTTCTCCATAAATAGTTGTTTATGTGGGCTTGGGTATGGCACATTATGGAGGTTTGTGCATTTTATCAGAATGATAATTAATGACGTTTAATGGTAAAACATAGAATGGAAATATCAGATATAGATGTCTCTCTGTGTGTATGTGCATGATTCTTTTTCAAACCAATAGGAAAACATCTTTCAAGGACTTATCTGGGCAAAGTGATTTAATTAGAGTTTCTTTTGTGTGTTCTTTACGATGTGTGACTGCTGTTAGCCATTGGACAGCTTGAGAATTCCACTTTTAAAGTCCTTCAATTTATATCAATATATCTACCTTTTTGGAAAACCCTAAACAGTTATCATCTTTTCTCTTCCTCCACAGAAATAACAAATATTATTCTTAGCATTCTGGAAAGCAATACCAAAGCTTTCTCTATAATTTCTATATATATATATATATTCTATATCTGTATATTCCATATATATATGCATATATAAAATTAGCTAGTTATTTTCTCTTAAAATTTATTTTTGTTGTGAACTTAAATATCAAATAGGATCCTCATTTCTGTATACATAGAACTGAAAAAGGGTAGGAAAAAAGAGAACCATACATGAAGCAGTTCTTTATGTAAAGCTTTCTCTCTCTCCTCTTTCTCTGTGTGTGTATATGTATGTGTGTGTACATGTGTACATACACACACACACACATACACACTTCTATATATGCAGCCTGTAGCTTTCAAAGTTATCCTTCTTTGTGCTTTCTGGACTTTCTTTTCTGTATTAAAAAAAGAAAAAAATGCTTTAAGAACTTTCTTTTTAAAAAAATAACAAATTTATTTATATATTTTTAGCTTTCAGCATTCACTTCCATAAGATTTTGAGTTCCAAATTTTCTCTCCCATCTCCCCCCTCCCTCACCCTAAGACAGCATGTAAATTGATATAGGCTCAACATATACATTCATATTAAACCTATTTTCACATTAGTCATGTCGTAAAGAAGAATTAGAACTAATGGGAGAAAGCATGAGAAAGAAGAAACAAACAAACAAAAAAAAGAGAGAGCAAATAATATACTTCGATCTGCATTCAGACTCCATAGTTCTTTTTCTGGATGTGGATAGCATTTTCTATTATGAGTCTTTTGGAATTGTCTTAGATCTTTGCATTGCTAAAAAAGAGATAAATAACTTTCTTTCCTTTTTCCTGTTCCTCCCTCCCTTCTTCCCTCCCGTCCTTCCTCTCTTTCTCTCTTTTTTCTCTCCCTTCCTTCCTTTCTCTTTCTCTCCCTTCCTTCCTTTCCTTCCTTCCTTCCTTTCCTTCCTTCCTTCTTTCCTTCCCTATCTTTTTCTTTCTTTCTTTTGCCCCCTTACCCATTCCACTGCACCAATGGAGAAGGGAGAAAAAAAATAAAGCCCCCCTGTACCTAGTCAGCATAATCAGCATAGTCAGCAAAACAAATTCCCACATTGGCAGTGTCTGAAAATATGGCTAATATTGCATCTTAAGTTCATCATTTCTCTGCCCAGAGGTGGGTAATATGCTTCATCATAAATCCTTTGGAATCATAATGAGTTATTGCATTGTTCAGAGCTTTCATGTCTTTCAAAGTTGTTTTTCATTATGATGTTTTTGTATAAATTGTTCTCTGGGTCCTGCTCACTTCACTCTGTATTAGTTCATGAAGGTCTTCCCATGTTTCTCTGAAACTGCCGTTTCATCATTACTTATGACAGAATAGTATTTTGTAATTCATGTACCATAATTGGTTGGATATTTACCTCTCTGCAACTATCAGATAGTTTATAGGCAAATGTCATGCCTGAGCTCTTGTTTCTGCTGCCAGAAAAGCTACATTTCCTAAGGGGGGCGGGGAAGAAAGTCAAAATAGGACATTTTTGAATATCAAGTGATGAAAGACTGCTGAGCATTTAGGATCTGGAATAAATGAAGGTGGTTTGTTCAGGCTTTAGGACAGTGAAAATCAGGAGGTTCACATTCTATAGTCTTCTGATAATCATAGATCTTGTTTGGCCCTTGATTTGGGTGTTTCTTTTAATGAATAACTCACATAGGTAGCAGTTAGCATCTCTCCACAGTCTGCATTGAATCTTGTTACATATTGAATAGAGAAATAGGGAGGGGTCTGCTGAAATCCTTTTAACACAAGGCAATATGTAGGCAAAGAATTCGCTTGTCAGTTTGTCTAGGGATGGAGCGATCTATATATAGCAGAATTGATGTCATGTAGTCTTTTTTGTCTCAGGACTTGCTTTGTACAATTAGCTGCATCCTTTCTAGCCAAATGGAAGAAATTATAAATAACTCATTGAAAGGAGGGACTGTTTCATTTTTGTCGTGTATCTTTAGCACCTAAAGCAGTGCCTAGCACATAATAGGAGCTTAATAATAAAGGTGATTGATTGATATGGTTCTCAATTTTGTGCTAATTTTTGGGAATCAGTGTTTATTTTTCACCTTTACCCTAAATGACAATTTCCAAAAACATGTTTTACTTTTTTTTCCCTTGAGTGTTGAGCTTCCTTTAACACACTGTATTCCTTAGTGTTGTGGTTTTGGATTTATTTCTTAAACAGGGGAAGCTGTGCCTGAGGATGAACAGATCAGTGCTAAAGACCAGAAGAATCTGGAGCCCTGTGACAATACACCCATCATAGATAACATGACCCCTGTTGTCTCTAGCATCTCCACAGAGGAGAAGCAGAAGTATGATGAGGAGATAACCTGCTTGTACAGACAGTTGGATGATAAGGTTTGGAACCTAAAATTTCTTTGTGGGGGAGGGCTATATTTATAGTCATAGCAAGCAAGAAGCCAAGATTATCAGCATGCAAACATATCCTAGATGGTTCCTTTGTTATACCAAAGAAACCTGTTATGGGGGCGGGGTTCAGTTTAAAAAGCAGTCATGAGTAGTGCAGCATTCAGACCTGGCTTAAGTGATTCCTTTCTCTACATCTGAATAGAACTTTTTAATAGAATTCTTAGAAGTTGGTGAACTGATATTTTGTCCATCTTGTCTCTCACCCATCACTCCCAGTCTATAATTCTAGGAGGTACAAAAATTAGACCAGTGGCTTTATAAGCTAGAATGAAATTTAATTGGGTTGTTTGGCCTGACCAGTGTGGTACTTACTGGTTGTTTCATGGAGATAGAACAGTGAGAATTGGGGAGGGGAGCCAAAGCACACTCCTACTAGACCTAATTTTGAGGTAAAGAGTAATACTTTCCAAAGGCAAAATGTGTTTTTGAAATCTGCAGATAAATTCTACCTCATCTCTAACCCCCAAACCAAGGGATGTTTGACCATTTCATTTTGGGTATGCTGTCTGAAAACCTGGGGAGCCCAAAACATTTGGCACTAGGAAAACTCTCATTTTGGTGCATGTTATATTGAGAATGTTTGAACATGCGGAGTTGGAATACCTATATTTTATGCGTACTCAGTTGATGCTCAGATAGACATGTTTCAATGTAGTCACTGGGGAGAGAATAGAAAAGACCTTGAAGAAAATAATGTCTATGCATTCCCAGTGAAGACAAGGGTAGGGATCCTAGAAGTAATGAATAGTTAATGGATGTTTTATGCTGTGTTGATGTTTTGTCCTTGGTATATTCTGAATCCTTTCAATTCACTTATTAAAAGGTTACTGACATTTTTGGTGCAATTTAATTCTACTGAAGTTCTTCCTGAATTGTTCTATGGACTCCTGAGACTCACATTGAGCAGCTTTGTTATGTGAACACTGCCATTAATCTTACATGCCCTCTGTTTGGGATAAATGCTTAGTATCCAATATCTTTTTTTTCTATTGTCTACTGTATTAAGGGATCCTTCTGTGTTTGTTATTTTCTGAGTTTATTTTATAACTACAGCAATTAAATTGGGTGTAACCTGACCCTTATGAGTTCATCTGTAATGTACTTTCATTCCCATGAGAGCTTTGTTAATTGGTCTTTCAACTACTAGAAACGGTATTGCTTTTTATTGCCTATGCAGGGTCTTTGTACAAAAACCATTCATAAAGAGCTGAAGGAACTGTTATTATCATGTGTGTAAATGTCTTGATTTCCTTAAGAAAATGATACTTAAAAATGTTTGTGATTTCATTGGTGTGGGTATTTCCCTCTGATTCCAACCGTAGTAAAGAAAGTTTGTTGTGGTACTGTGGCCAGAACAAATAAGCAGGGGGTCAACATTCTAGTGATAAATCTCTGTGACCATAGCTGGGCTGGTGCTCAGTGGACAGTCAATTGCTGGGCCCACACTTACAGACTTTAAGGTCTGATAGATTCTTCCAAAGCTTATGCTCTTCTAGGAGAGCCTTTGAGGAAACCATGATGATGCACCAGAATAGGACTTGAGTGAAAGAAGTATTCTCTTTGCATATTAAATATAAAAGAGATTTTTCTGGATTATAGTGCAGAGCTAATCTGAGATTGTAGTTTATATTTCACTTCTGGTTTTTTGAATTAATTATTGAATTTTCAGAAATCACAAAGATATCCAAAATTACTTGTCCCATAGTAGTTGGAATAATTCCAGTTCTTTGACTTTACCCTCTCTGTAGTAAGGGAAAGAGAGCTAATTCCACCTGCTTTTGTCTTCTCGTTTGTCAATCATCATGGTCACTTCTAGGTCCCAGGAGAAGAGATGATGATCAGATCGCTGCATACTTATCTTTTTTTTTATTTTAGTTGGATGTTTATGCAGCACCTGCAAGGTGCCAAAGAACATTGACAAAAAATCCTCTTCTCTAGTTACCCACATTCTAAATTTAGAAAACAAAGCATCATCAGTGCCAGATCCTTATAACAAAAGCACCATTTTGAAGGCTTTCTTTTGGTGCACTTATCCATGCCACAAATCTAATTTGGAGTAGGAGTTGGGGGTAGTAGAACTCTTCTATGTAGTTTGTGAAATAATTGAAGATTTATTGGTGTAAAAAAGCCTGTAGAGAAATTATTATTCAAAGGCAACCTTCTAACAGAAAAGAGCGATTAGAAATAATATAGTGGATATGGAAGGCATGGGTAGCCAAACCCTGATTTTAGAATCTAATTTCTGTATCAAAAGCCATAGCATGTTAGTTGACAGCTTTGAAGGTCAGGATCTTAAATGGAACCCCCAGGAGAACAACAAGCTCCTTCTGCCTCATCCCATGCATTTTCAGAACAAGGCTGCATGTTGCTGCAGGTCAGATTCCCAAACATCCTCTGCTGTAGACCGGTACTAGATGAGTGTCCAGTTAGGTGCTAGGACGTTATTTTTATGTTCTCAACTCTTCCTATTTCCCAGAGAAAGGCCAATGTGAATAAGGGTTGTTTTGTGTAACATTTTGAAGTCTGTGCTTCCAAATTTTATTTGAAACGATGAAAATGATAGCAGAGAATGCAGAGTTTATCTCCTGCTGCTAGGCAGCTCATGCCTGCTGTTCCACCCACATCTGGGGGTGGGTAGCTTACCAGGTGAAAGCCTAGGGAACAGATTTACACTCCAGTTACAAAGGGCTTAAGGAGCCAGCATCCAGGCTTTGACAGCAGCAACATCTAGTGGCAGAAAATGAGAATGAAGATGATGAATTTGCTCAGGGAGAAGATTCCTTACCACCGAATCAATAGCTGCCTCCTCCTCATCGCTCTCTCCACCCCCTCAGCCAAGCATTAATTTCTGCTCTCTGCTCCTTCACAATTTTTTTTCTTCCTTACTTGTAAATGGAATTTACTTCTCTACTGGAATGTTTCATTGCCAAAGCTAAATCCTTTCCCATAACTATAAAATTGTTGCTGTTTCTCATTTCTCAGCCAAAATGCAAATGATGTCTGTACATTATTCATGCCGGGTCAATCAAATATCCTATTTCCAGAGTTTTGCTGAGTTGGGCATTTTCCAAATTGACTAGTCTTTCAATCCAGAAGTCCCTTTTTTCATAATTGATGCTTCGCCCCCCCAATTTCTAAAATAGTGAGTCTTAGGTTTTCCATTGACTTAAAAGTAAAGGGTTTTTAGCAGACATCCTGCTAGAGCCACTATAAGTAATATGCAGCAGCTGCTCCTATCATTGAAATAGTCAGGATTTGGGATCTTTGCAAAATAGAGTAGATGGTTAAAAAGTATTTTCTCTTTTACTGATAAGCCATAGTAAGATGCATCACATGAAAGTCCCTAAGGTCCCTTTCATTTCTACTATCTTGGTATTTTTTCAATTTCCAGATGAGTAGAATTACAGTTGTGTAGTATATTGTACATCAAGGATGTTTTATCCATTGTGAAAAATGGATTTAGAGGCATTTTAAATAAATAAAAACATGGAGCCAATTACTTTATCTTCTGAAATAATCATAGGAAAGAGAAGAATTATAATTTTCTTTTTAATCTATTATCAAACTTATAGCTGATGTCTTAGTGGCTATTTTCTGGAAACTTAGGTGTCAAAAGTGGAATCATTAGTAAAAATAATTAAATGTGCTGTTTCATTTCAGGATGATGAAATTAACCAGCAGAGCCAGCTGGCTGAAAAATTAAAGCAGCAGATGTTGGATCAGGATGAGGTAAAGAGACAAACACAAAACTCAAAGTTATTGGAATTTTTGTTTAATTCTACAAATTGCAACTTTTCCAAGAGACTTAGAAAGCATCTTTGCTTGACTCCTGTGGAACTTTCTGGTTGAGGTTTTTTTTTGTTTTTTTTTTTAAATCTTAGGACAGTATGATGATGCCTGCCTGAGTGGAATTTACTAAATGAGGCATGACTCAGCCTATGACATTCTTAACCCTTTGAGGGTTTTCTTTCTTCCTTTCTTTTTCTCTTTCTTTCTCTCCTTTCTTTCTTTCTTCCTTTTTTCTTTCTTCTTTCTCTCCTCTTTCTCCCCTCTCCTCCCCCCCTTTCCTTCCTTCCTTCTTCCTCTTTTTCCTTCCTTCCTTCCTTTTCTCTCCCTGGTAGATACAGTCATTCCTTGAAGTGAGGAAGGTGGAACATGTAAGATAATTTTAGTACTTTAGGCAAGAATGGCTGTCTCTTCATTCCCAGCTGACAGTACTTCTATTACTCTTCCACAATCATTTTGGGCACCATTTACAACTACTCTCAGATATCAACACTGATCATGATCACCAATATGCTTTAGCACTAATCCAGAGAAGAGATTAAAGGAGGGGAAAGAAGAGGTAAGGTACCATGCTGGAATACTTTTGGATCACTAAAAAGTGGAAAGATAGTTTTGACCTCATTAGAAGGTAGAGATGTGCCATGTCCCCACCTCCTGTACCTCCCATTCACTCACCAACTTAAACTATGGTTTTATACAAATAGGAATTAATTGTAGTTTTGCTCTATGGAGGTAGATATGAGTAAATTTTAAATCCAAGATAATACACCCAATAATTTCGTCTGTTTACTTTCAACCTTCTTCCCCCAGTTAACTTTTTCACCAAAACGAAAAGCTGCACACTTGCTCTGGTGGAGTGACTTACTAATTATGAAGTAGCCAAATTATGACAGAAGGGAATAGTAACATTAGCTGGATATCTAGACTTTGGGTAGTCTGGAGCTGCCTGTGTGGTAATGACTGGATTAAAATAGAAAGGGAAGAAAACCCAGCACAGATGTAACAATACTTGCTTACGTTTTTAAAGTTGTCTTGAAAGAATTAGTTGATAGTTTTTGCTGTTATGGTTGACTGTGCTTCTCAAACACACGTTTATTTCCAAAGAACTTGAGAAACAGGAGAGTCATGCAGAACATTAGTATTTTTCTATCCTGGCCTAAAGAATCTCTTTTTTCTTTGCCCCTTCTGATAATACCTGAGCATATTTTCCATAGACTGCACCTACAAAGTGTGATTTTGGTTCTGTCCTCCTCAGTGCCTCATTTGTACCTAACAAATGTTTATGTGATCATTTTCTTCCTCCGAATTTCAGCTCCACTGCTTTTCTTGTTGCAATTTCAAAGGCATTAATTGTAGTAATTTCCCAATCACTTTATTAGCTAGTCTTGCTTGATAAGGGCTACTTTGGGTTAACTATATTGTAATCAGTTTCTTTCCCAAGGCTGAAATGTGTTCAAAGTCAGCAGCATCTCAGATATCACTCTGCCTCTCTCCTCTCTCTCCCTTCCTTAGCTTCTCTGTTGTTGAAAGGATTCACTTGATAGAACAAGTGCCTGTGATAAACTTTCTCCAGTGGGTGACCTAATTCCCTTTCACTGATTGGTAGACCTTCTGTTGGCTTGTTAACTCTGGGGAGCCAAACTAATACGAACAAAACTTTGGATATTGTGACAGCACCGTAAACACTACTTGCCAATTGTTTGTTTCACACATGGAATAGTTAACAACAAAGTGAAATGCTTTTTGATGTATGATTCCATCTTGAAGTAACTCTATGCTGTAGCTTCAAGAGAAAAGAATCAAATCATGTCATCTTTAGCATCCATTCATCTTGAGCTGTGACTTGTCTAACTCTGTTCCTCTGTCTCTGTCTCTGTCTCTTTCAACCACCTTTGGGATGGAACATGAATTTATCACTAATTTAGCAATCCAGTCTAATCTCAACTATTACCTCTGATCCCCCATTAATTAATGATTACCATATAATGTTTTCCTCCCCCCACCCCCATTCAGTTTAACAAACATTTCTGTGTTCAAAGCATTGATTCAACATTTAAATAAGACACAGTCCCTGCCCCAATGGAGTTTGCCTCAATCATTCCATCTGCAAAATGGGGATAAAGGAATAATCTGCTTTGCAAGGATTTAATGTTGATTCACTCAGTTGTATTTATGTATTTTTAGCTTTCAGCACTCAGCATCTTATGAGCACTTATAAAAGTTTGTACAACCTTCTGTAGTTGCACAGGGTTTCTAATCACAAATGTACAAATACATTTATTTCCCTGGTGCAAAAGAGTATTATCTCAATTCATTGCTCTCACTTTATAGTAACATTAGTCTTGTTTTGTTTTGTAGCTGGTCCTTACATCCTCCAAAACTTAAAAAAAATTTTTTTTAAAGCTTTTAGCTTCCACAAGAAGAGATTATGAGAAGATCCAGGAGGAGCTGACTCGTCTGCAGATTGAGAACGAGGCTGCCAAGGATGAGGTGAAAGAGGTTCTGCAGGCCCTGGAGGAGCTAGCTGTCAATTATGACCAGAAGTCACAGGAAGTGGAGGACAAGACTAGAGCCAATGAGCAGCTGACTGATGAGCTGGCCCAGAAAACGGTTTGGACATTTTCTATTGAGCTGGGGCTGGGGGGAGGTTCTCTGGCTTACTTACCTACTTTGGTGGTTCTTCTGCATTTGTAGTAAAATATATTAAAAGTTTTGGGCATTGATAAGAGTCTCAGCTGACAGAAAGACTGGAATGTATCTTTTTTTTTCCCTGAGAACCTCACACAAGCTGTCCTGACAGACATTTAAGCTTACACCCAAAGTTAGTTAGATGTTCCTCAGCTTGCTGGTCTATTTCCTTGAAATATCTGTTAGTTTCTCAGCATTAACCCCTGTAACATTGTTTGTGGAAGATCATCCTCCATTTTGGGAAGCTAGATGACACAGTGTTTAAGAGTGCCGGGCCTGGAGTCAGGAAGACTCATCTTCCTGAGTTCAAATCTGACCCCAGACACTTACTAGCTGTGTGACCTGGGCCAAGTCACTTACCTCTGTTTGCCTCTGTTTCTCACCTGTAAAATGAGCTGGAGAAGGAAATGGCAAACCACTCCATTCTCTTTGCCAAGAAAATCCACAACTGAACAACAAATAACACCCTCCATTTCATCCTGTAGTAATGTCAGAATGGGTTGTGTCTTGACTAATTTTATGTAGTTAATGCAGTTGGAGACATGAGTATGGTTGTGCACTGGAGTATTTGATTTATTTTCTTAGTTCCTCTCAGTGATGACAATAACTTGTAGATGTGGCTTTTACCCACACTTATGGGTTAGTTGTCTCTCACAGAAATCTGACAGACACAAAGCTTTAAAGTCTTACGACAGAGTCGAGGAGTTGTAGTTATTTTTCACTTCCCAATGTCTTTCTACTTCCTCAAACCTACTGCTCCCCATATCTTGCCTTAACCTTTATTTTGATTGCTCTAGGATTCTGCTCAGCCTGATTTGGCTTATTGTTTACTTGTTTAAACTGGCCCCTCCATTGGTCTCTATCTTACCTTTTTTTTTCTCCTTCTTACTCTGTCATGGAAAAGATGATGTCAGTTCCATGAAACAGAATTTGTGATGAGGTCCATCTACCCTCAGCTCCAGTAAAGCATTATATCTAGCTAACTGAGGAGTAACTTGCTGCTTTTTACCCTTTACCATTTGGCAAATGTGTTTGCAGGGGAGAGAAGGAAACAAGGTTCAGCAGCAGACTGATTCCCTGGGAACCTCTGCATAATGGCTTGGCATCATGAGAATTTGTCCAGTCTGCTTTATGGAAGTCATCCAAATTTGATTGGCAAAGGGTGTTAACAGATGGTGCTATGAAACTTAATCTACTCACCATAGGGGATGCAAGAGATGTCATTGACTTCATAAACTCAGCTGGGATAGCAGAGACTTTTCTAATAAAACATTTCTCAAGATAGCGGAGATAAATTTTGGAAATTTTTTTTTGTATTCTCAACCTGGAATTATTAAATAGATAATCAGAGAAGCATTGGAAATACTGGAGAGATAGCCAGCAGTATCTTTTGTGAGGAGACTTATGTTTAGTGCCCCATTAGGTTTTTAGCTAGTGAGAAGTAATTGAGAATGATTTTTTCTACTCAGCATCAATGAATGATTTTTCATAGTACAATCTTGTCACTCCTTATCACTCATCTGCTAAGTGCTACTAGCTAGTTCTCAAGTAATTTTCATAGTCTAATCAGTAAAATGTGTTATATTGTAAGAGATATATTTGGAAGAATTATGTAAATTTCTTTGTATTAACTTACGTGTCTTTGGTGACAGAGGGACTGCTTTCTTTGTAGGTTCAGTTAATTAGAAAAATACCCAGAAGCCAAAGATAGCTATTTTGTTGTTGCATGGAGTTGGTCAATCAGCAAGCATTCTTAAGCACCTGCTATGTACCAGGCACAGTGCTAGCTTCTATACAAATGTAAAAATTGAGAAAATCTCTGCCCTCAAGAAGCTTATATTAATGTATGTGCTTCAGCACTTGTTCCTTCTGATGTTATATATCAGGGATGGAAAAGAAACTGGTCTATTTAGTGCTTTAGCACTTTGGCAAGAAAATGGAGCTTTTTAACACATAAAGAATCTCTTCTTTGATTTTGTGTTATGTGACAAAGATGATCTGCATTCAATTTAGTTTTCCTGGGAAGAATAGAAAAAAATTAACCAACTATTTCTAAATTAATTCTTCCCTGATTAGTATTTCTATGGGTGTATTGCATGAGCAAAATGTTTTTTATTTAAATTTAATAGCTGTATTGTTAAGAGACTTATTAGGTCTGTAAGACTTCCATCTCCCAGGTGAGGGAGGAATCTGAGAGTCTGCCTAGAGAATAGATTCACTCAGAAGACAAAGGTTAGGGATGTGATTGGATTCTTAGAAAGTAAAGTGTGGGTTGAAATAGAAATATGTATTTTACATTTTTAACAACTAGAATGTCCTGAGTCTAAACAATCTGAATTTAGCCCCTCTCCTTCTCTTTTTTTCTTCTTTCCTACCTTCACTACCTTTCCTCTTCTATTTCCTCCCCTTTCTCCTCTATTTTCTCTCTCTTTCTTCTCTTCTTCTCTTCTTCTACCACCCCCATATTATTCCCTGGTACATTGGACAGAGTAGGTTGAGAAATACCCAGGATTTTATTTTGGAATATATAACTTTTACCAATATTTGGCTTAAAAATCCCTATTTTTCTGAATTTTTTATAACCACCACTAATAATAAAAGAACTCTTTTCTGTATATTGCTTTATAATCTTTTCTAAAGTCACGTATTTTATGCATAGGACCAAAAAGTGGTCTTTTTTTTACACACTATTGGTGAATTCTTTTCAGACTACCTTGACTGCTACACAAAGAGAGCTGAATCAGTTGCAGGAACTGAGTAACCATCAGAAAAAACGAGCTACAGAGATCCTGAATTTACTGCTGAAGGACCTGGGGGAGATTGGTGGAATCATTGGCACCAATGATGTGAAGACGGTAAGCCATCTCAACCTTTATTTTGGTGTCCATTCTTATAATGGCAGCATGGTGTAGGGTAAAGAGAGTTAATCCTGCGAAGTTGGGAATATGTTGGGTGAAGAAGGTGGAATTTGATTTTCAGTTCTGGGAACCCGTCAGTCAATAAACATTTATTAAATGTTTACTATGTCTCAGGCACTGTTCTTAGCACTGGGACTATAAAAATAGGAAAAAGACAATCTCTGTCCTCGAAGATCTTGTAATCTAATAGATTGTGACCATATTTAAATCTTGTTTGGACTAAGGTAAATAAATGTCCCCATTCCCTGAAGACATTTGCCACCATTTAGGGAGAATATACAGTGAGTTTTGGGGGGAAAAAAAAACAAAGCTGGGTGGGTATGAAAGTTAGCAGTTATTTGCATAGGGATTTGTTTTCCTTTGAAAATATGGTGGGTTGAAATTTGTCTCACTGCTCTGTAGTATATTTTTATTTTTTTTTTGTTATCCTCTGCTTGACGAAGACCAATTAATATTAACATTCTTGTACCTTGCATATCTTTACAAATGTAAAACTGAAAAGGGGATTGTAAAACAGTAGGTGTCATTTAATTCTATATCTAAAACCCTGTCAACCTTGATTTTTCCCTTTTTAGAATGGTAAGATGGGAAAGAAGTTTGTTTTTAGCTCTTATTGTGAATAATGCACATGTAGGGAAATGTCCAGAAGACCAGTTGTGGCGATTGGAAGGGAGAAGGTTGGTTGTTGTCCTTCGTTCTCAAAGAGGACCAAAATGACATCTCTATAATAGAGTCAAGTTACAGTGTGTCCAGCTGGCTGATCAGACCAATACGAGCTCAGAATACTGTACCATAAGTCAGGCACAAATAATGCATGTGAATATTTGGAGTGGATTCCCTAAATTTGTGCATCTCATGTTTCTTTTGAGCTACTGGGGAGAGTAGGAAGAAGAAGAGAGACAGAAAGGGGTAGAGGAGAGGGAGAGGAAGAAGAGAGAAACTATAAGCTAAGAAATAGTTTAAACAAAGGACCTTCATATAATACATGTATTTGCTAATGCAAACTGTCTAAGGTAAGGATGAGTTTGCAGCCAGAAAGCAGAGTATAGCTAACTAGCCTATGTGAGGATTTATCAGTACCATCTTTGACTTCAGTAACATCATGTTGTAAAAATCTGAGCTAACTTAACAGTTCATATAATTTCAAATTATATAAATGGAGAATGGTCATAGAATGAATAATGGAAATGTAAAAATACCAACCTTCTCTCCTGTAAAACCTGTTTCAAGAACTGGTGAATGATAGATTTGAGTTATCTCTTCATGACAGGCCTAATATCCGGTAGGCATGCTAAGAAGTGGCAAAATGTCATAAATTTAGGGAACAGAAGGCTATATGGATAATCAGCCTTCGAAGAATTAAGGGCTTAGAATTAATTATGCTGACTATAGTCACATCGGAAAAACTTATCTACCTCTTGAATTCCAGACTTAGAGGAAAGCATCAGGGCTTACATTTTAAGAAAGGAGATAAAGTTTTAAGACACAGAAGACATGCATGGGATTTTTGTCTGCATAATTTCCCAAATAACTGCTTGAAAAATGAAAATTCTCTATTATATAAGGTTATGTAACCCTTAAATTCAACTTCCTCTCTCCTTCTTCTTCTCTCTCCCCCTCCTCTCTTTTCCCTTCCCTCTCACTCCCCTCTTTCTTTCTCATCTATCTCTATTATTTAACTACTGATCTATATCAATGTTTATTTTTACTAAATTGTTTTCATGATGCTCCTCTGTTTTATAGGTAGACAGTTTATGAGTAAGGAGTTATATAAGTTGGAGGGAAAAGACCATTGGATTTGTAGTCAAAAAGAGGATGAATTTGAGTCCTGGCTCAGCCATTTAAGTGTGTCACCTTGTAGAATTTCAATTTCCTCAATCTTTTAAATGGGAATAATAATATTTGTGCTAGCTATGCTATAATGCCATTTTGAGGCTCAAATGATGACTTGTGTATATAATTTATGTATGGCATATGTAAAATAATGTATAAATTTGAGCAATTATTAAAAAATGATACCTGAGAGGCTCTCTCAATGATGAACTTTATGAATAGTATAGAAAAAATTCAATTTGAGTATTTTTAAAGCTGAGTTTTCTAGAAGAGATGTTGAACTAGGTGACATCCCTTCAATGCTAGTATTCTCTTATGGTATAACTATTGATAAGTAGACATTTAATAAATGCTTGTGAATGATTCTGAAACTTCATTGCAGAGTATTCAGGTATCATGGAATTAATTCCATTTCATCCAAGTTTGGTTATTTAAAGTTTGATTTAATTTTTGGAAGAACTTATTGGTCTCAGACAAACAAAATCCCCACATTTTGCCAATTACCAAGGTCATTTTAAATTAAAGGCAGAGTTGATTTATGGAATGTTGACTCCTTCTGCTGTCAGTGAAAAAAGGGCATTATTTTAAGCTGCAAAATAGAGCTGATGTAAAATTCAAATGAAATCAAGGAGTGCCTGGGTGTTGGAGCATTAAAACACAGCCTTAGGGAATTTGAAGCATGATTGAAATAATTTTAAAATACTCAACTGGATGCTGCTAGGATGTTGCTCTTTACCCTCCCCCCTCTCCCACATCCAATTAGTTTTAGATTAGTTGTCAAATCCTGTTGATTCTACCCTTCAATATTCCCTTGTGTCTATATTTTTCTTTCCATCTTCATTGCTACTTCCCTACTTCAGGACCCTCATGACTTCTTTCTTGGACAACTACTATAATAACTTTGAAATTGATGTTCCTAAAATAATCTATCCATCCTATAGTATTGCCATGTCATTCTTCCTGATGCACAGATCTGATCATATCAATCCTCTCTTCAAAAAACCTTCATTGGCTCCCCATTGCTCTTCTAATAAAGCCCAGGATCCTTATCCTGATAATCAAAACCCTTCTCAATATAGCTCCCATCTAGTTTTTCTGCCTTTTTCCTGTTACCCTTGTCTTGTGCTCTTAAGTTTCCTACCAAACTTATCCCTGAAAATACTCTATATTTTCCTTCCTCTATACCTTTATTTATATCATCTAGGTTTGCCTAGAATATTCGCCTCTTCCCAACCTACCCTTCTTTCTTTTTTTTTTGCCTGTTGATATTCTGCCTATTTTTTGGATCTAATTCAAATGCCATCTTCTCCATTAAGCTTTCCCTAGTCTTTCCCTGACCCCAACTAGATATGCTCTATTCTTCCTTCTGAACCTACATAGCACTTTGTTTATATTTTTTCTCATTGCATTTATCATATCTTACCTAATGCTATAATTATGTGTGTACTTGGCTTTTCCCTTTAAGATATTGTAAACTCTTTGAGGTCAGAAACTATGACTTATTTTTAAATCATCCTCTGCATACTAACACAATATGTGCTATATGAAGTACATGCCATGAGAATTCATTCAGTAGGATTCAAAGTGGATTCTAAAATTTCCAGCCCCAGTTAATTTCATTGACAAGTCTTAATCATTTTAATCCTTAATGACTGTGTCTTGACCTAGGATTATTATTCTTTCTTTAAAGGAGTAGTATTCCTATGGAAAGTTTAGCATTTCTTCAAATTCACTTGCTGGATAAATGCTTTTCTTATTTGAATAGGGTTATTTGATTGGGCAGCTAGGTGGCACAGTGGATAGAACGCCAGACCGGGAGTCAGGAAGATTCATCTTTCTGAGTTCAAATCTGGCCTCAGATACTTACTAGCTGTGTGACCCTGGGCAAGTCACTTAATCTTGTTTGTTTCAGTTCCTTATCTGTAAAATGAGCTGGAGAATGGAATGGCAAACAGTATCTCTGCCAAGAAAACCCCGAATGGGATAACAGAGTTGGACACAACTGGAAAGTGACTGAACTGAATTAATGTAGCTGTAGCAGTACAGTATGTGGCTTCTTTTGAAGCCAGAAGATAATGGATGGGGGACTTTTCTCTGTGAATTATATTTATGATATGCTACTCAATGCCAAGGCTTCTGGTGACAGATATACAGTCATGAGGAGAAGTCTACTACCAAACAAAAACAAAAGTGATGTGAGTTGGAGTCTTCATTAGTTCAAAGAGGAGACTGACTTAATCTTTATTTTAAGAAAAGGAGAAAAGACTGATTTTTCCCTAGAATCAGTGAACCCACTTTGAAAATTGTTTTGTCACCTACCAAGACAAAAAGGGAAATATTTCCAAGAAAAGTAAATCAAAAGAGTATGTAGAGAAAGGTGAAATAAATGAAACTTATTTTGGTCTTTTGCCAAATTCTTGCCTTTTTTTAAAACCCTACCTTGATTTCTTTTAGGCTGTGAAACATGAAATGCCCTATGCCATGACTTCATTCTGGACTAGAAAAGGCAATAGCTCATCTACTTGTACCTTTGGGTCCCTTACAACTCTTTACCTTTGGAATGTGGCATAGGGGAAAGATTGTTAGGGGCAAGATGTCATTCCTACTTTCATGGTGTCAGAGAGATAAAGTCAAGTTGAAAGAGGCCATTCCTCCCAATCCCTCCCCATTTGCCAGTCAATTTGGAAACAATATAGAATATAGTCAGTATGTATCTTCTACCCTTGTCTCTGTGTTGGCCAGATGCTAGTAACCAGGAGATCTATTCTAACTGCACAACCTTCCTGTCCATTATCTAAGATAAGCAGTGTGGCGTAGAGGAAACAGCACTGGTCTTACCCAAGTTAATATCCCAAATGTGTCACTTACTACCTGTGTGACTGTGGGCAAATCAGATGTTAGTAATAACACTTTTATTGCTTGCCTTGAAAGGTTGTGATGAGAAAAGAGCATTATTGAAGTGTTGTTTAAATGTGAACTATTCTTACTAGTTGTTGTTACATTTGAAAGGATATATGTGGAAGGACACTGTGAGGAATGTTTCATGGGCAAGGACACTTTAATCAGAAACATAGCATGTAAGGTGCGCCATTATACTGGAAGTCAGAGAGAGTTATGGTCTATAGCTTTCAACCTTGAAAATGGAATTCTGTACAGTGCTAAGGATACATATAACTTAATATTTGTTAAATTCTGAAAGTTGGGATTTAGGTTCTTCCTGATGATTAATTTACTTATATTTGTTGCTAATTCTCCAGAGCTCATCTGACTCCATATCCTCAGTCCTAAATGATCACTTAAAAACATACCAATATAGAATGAGTTATGATAGTAGCCATGATGCAAGTGACACATCTGTATTTAAGTGACATACCTTATTCACAACTATTAGGCACTCTGAAGCGTTGCAAAACCAGGTTGTAGCCCAAATAACAAATCTTAATCTGTATTCACATACCAGCATAACCATATCATAAATACCTATTTGTGGAAATACTGTGGTACCCTCTGGTGGCTAAACAAAATTATACATTTTTAACTAATATTTGTCTAGTGAGTTGTATAATCTGCTTATATAGTTGTTCATGGCCAAGTTTACATGAGGGATTATGAACTTTTATTTTGTGTGCCTTACTTTAGCTTCTCGCTTGCCCAATAGGGATCTCAGTCAGAGAGCTGAGATGTGAGGCTGCAACTTGATTAAAAGATACATGAGAATGTTTGGTTTAGCTAGAGCTTGACTGAAGGAGAGCATGGATCTTTAAAATACAAAGGGTTCCTCACTCTCTAGAGGACAGTCCAAACTAGGAGGGAGGGAGTAAAACTGCATATAATACATTACATTAGTAATCAAGAAAAATAACAAAACAATAAACCCTCAGATACTAGGATACTCAGGGAATGGGTATTTTTATGCAGTGGATTTTCTTCTTAACTGTGGGTAAAGAAGAAAATTCTTTTTTTGTATGACTTCCTACTTTTAGAATTTTTTTCAACATGGATTCTCCCATTAGAGTTGTACTCTTCTTTAGGAAAAAGAGCAACTCATAAAGAAGAAACTATTTTTAAAAGCCAGTCTGCGTATGTAGTACTTCTAGGCCAGATTTACATGGGGGAATCATAGTCATTTAAGACTAATACTGCCTTAGTTAACATAGCACAATCAACTCAATTCATTCTCTCTTTGATGACTCAAGATTTTGCTATGTTTTGAGATCATAGGACCCTACATTTAGAACTGGAGGGGAAATTGTTGCAAACCTCTCATTTAACAAATGAGGTAGCTGAGGTTTGTGGAGTAGTAACAAGGTAGTAACAGACAGAGCCAAGATTCTAACCCAGGTTCTCAGATGCCAAGTCCAACAATCTTTCATTATGCTACCTTGTGAATGTCAATTATCATGGTAGAGTCTGTAGATAGAGAAGAATGAATTTAATGTGTACTGACCATAATGCATCCCTAGAAGCTCTGTGTGTATTTTTTTAACTAAAATAGTTTCTTTTTTTGTGTTACACTTTTCCCTAAAATAATAGTATAACAAAAAGTCTAGTTAATTAAGAGTGTTCATTAATAGAAGCGCAGTGGATAGAGATTTGGACCCAAAGGCAGGAAGATCTGGGTTCAAATCTGGCCTTAGATACTTTCTAGCTATGTGACCCCATTGGGCAAGTCACTCTCTCTGCCTCAGTTTGTAATCAAATCTGTCAAATAGGGATCAAAATAGCATCTATTCCCAAGATTGTTGTGAAGATCAAAGGAGAAAAAATTTGTAAAGCACTTAGCACAGTGCCTGGCAGACAGTTGGTGCTTAATACATGCTTGTTCCTTTTACTGTCCTTTGTGATTTGGTGATACTTATTAGGTAGAAGGTTGCTTGAAAACTTGAAACTAACTGGATGATCTCTGAAGATCTTTTTTTTAAGTTAGGTGATTTTACTATTGCTGCTACATAATAGATCCCCATCTTTTTAGATGAACCCAAGATTTTCCTCTTAATTCCCCTTATAATGGAGCTATGCCACATGTCAAAAAGCAGAATAATAAACCATTTTCCTATAACAGCCAAAGCAAAGTTATACTTGACATTTTTAACTGTAGATTTTTATTTAGTAGAAGGTTAGTTTGGTGTCTCCTAGAAAACACATAGGAGGGACAGTGTGATTCAATGGGAATTTTGTTTAGAAGGCCTGGTGTTCAAGCATTTGGTATTTGACCACCGATAAATCAGTCATCAATTTCTCAAAGCCTTAATTTCTTTGTCTGTCAAATTGGGACAATGGTATCTCTGCCACTTAACTCACTAGCTTATTGTGAAGAGTGTACTTTATAAATCATAAGGACCTTTGTAAATGAGTATTATTATTGTTAGCATATATAGCTTTGGCTTTGGGAAGATGGCCAATAAATGTGGGTAGGAGCTGCTGAGAAGTGTCAAAGAAGGCCAACACCTGAAGGGGCTCCTATTTAAATTTAAACTTGGTCAAGTGATTTCAGGACTTTCTGATTTCTTCTTACCACCTCCCATATTCTCTCTTTGCTTAATAAGACTATGCAATAGCTATGGATGTTTTGTACTCCTGAATATGAGGTTACAGATGACTAAATGAGCCTTTGGTACTTGGCTTATAAAGATCATTTCCTAATTCCAAAGTTCTTTTTTCCCCTTGACATAGTGTTGCAATGTCCCCTTGATCACCTCCATGGAGTATTTGACTTCTCTTCAGATTGTCAATTTGGAGAATGTCTCTATCAAAATTCTTCCCTAAAGTTTAGAATAATGGAAACTTTTCAACACTGCTTTTGATGTCCAAGGGGCTCCAGAGAGGAAGGGTCAATCTGGAGTTTTGATTTCTATCCAGTGGGCCAAAAGTAAGTAGTGGTGTCCTCTTGTGTGCTCAGTTAGCAGATGTGAATGGAGTGATTGAGGAGGAGTTTACCATGGCCCGGCTGTACATCAGTAAGATGAAGTCAGAGGTGAAATCCCTGGTGAACCGGAGTAAACAGCTGGAGAGTGCACAGATTGATTCCAACCGGAAGATGAATGCCAGTGAACGGGAGCTTGCAGCTTGCCAGCTGCTAATCTCACAGGTATGTCATCCTGTTCTTCCTCATCTGCTCACCTTGCCCTCTTGAAATAGCTTCGTTATTTGTCCGGCTACTTAGGATGGTCAGATACAGTTAACGTATTTGTTCACATTCTTGTTTTATACAAGAATCTTCTAGGGTAACTCTTAACAGTAGAAATTTCCTGTGAGAGATAATAGAGTTAGCACAAGTGTAAACTTGAAGTGAATTGTTTTTCTTTTTTTTGTCATTTGAGCTTCTAGATTTCCTTGGTCAGAGACTGATACTTAAGTTATTTTTTGATAAATAGGTAAATGCAATATAATCTAGAATTTTGAAATGATTTATATATTAGAAGAAAATCTCCTATTGCAAGATTATTTTTGAAACCTTCTTTTTGGTGATATTTTCTCTTTATCCTACATGTCTCGTTTAATATAGGAAAATCAGAATTGCTCTTTGTAGGGCAATTACCAAGTATCCATGTTAATTTCCCTGCCATAAAGTAATGCTATCACTTTTTCTATTACAGAAAAAAAGAATTGAAAACACCACTCTGTGTTACCATTGATATTTAAGCTTGACATTTTGTTTTCTTATGAGTAGTTCAGTGTATGTTTCTGAATAATTCATGTCATGCATCCATAATGGTGAAATTATTTGGACATAAAAATAAACTCATTCTTTAGATAATACTTTGGAATGGAGGGGAAATCCATATTTTCATACCCTAATCCTAAAACATTAAAGAATATTTGGTGTTAGACACATCTCAAGTATTATGTTGCCATAGTTATTATACCAGCCTACTTATCTCCAGTAAGAAGGATTGTAACTTGTGGCACAGTAGAATTGGTATTTGGATACCAGGGTTCCTTTCCCCAGAGCAGTACTTTACAATGCCCATAAAGAGGAAGGTGAGATCCCACAGAGAGAGGAGCCAGTAAATCTGGCCCTTCTGTGTGGCAGGAGGACCTTCTTTGTAGTGTCTTATGAGCAGAAGCTGAGGGTTCAGGAAGCAGTCTCCCAGACATTTGGAAAGCAGTTGGAATGATAGATTAAGTATATCATTCAAACACTGTGCTTTAAAAGAAAAACTTATTTGATTGAGTTTTCCTTTTTAAATAGTTTAAAGTAAGTGACCCCTTATTCATTCAATATTCTTTGTTAAGCATGAAGCAAAAATCAAGTCTCTGACAGATTACATGCAAAACATGGAGCAAAAGAGGAGACAGCTGGAGGAGTCCCAGGACTCACTCAGTGAAGAGCTGGCTAAGCTCCGTGCCCAAGGTAAATGTTTTATCATTTTTCTTTGTTGCAGTCTTGGTCAAATACATACACATACACATACACATACACACACTTTATCTCTCTCTCTCTCTCTCTCTCTCACTCTCTCTCTCTCTCTCTCTCTCTCTCTCTCTCTCTCTCTCTCTCTCTCTCTCTGCCTAAATGAACTATAAGATGTTCATTTATGCTCCGTTGATAACATTCCACCTTCCCCTCATCTACTCTGTACCAATGATTTGATTGATAATTAGGGAAGTCTTAAGGTGGTAGAATAGAAGAACAGCATGGGTGTGCAATGGAAAGAGCATTCAGTTTAGAGTTACAAGACCTAGGTTAGAATTCCTGTTCTATTTACTAGTTCAGTAGCCCCTCACTGGGGCTCTGTTTCCACATCTATAAGAGAAGGACTGACAGTGGTATACTGGAGATAGCTTATAATGCCTTGCAAGAACTGATTGTTAAATTTTCAAGGTGAGCGCACCTTGGAAATTGGCGAGCACTACACATCAGGGCTTTGTTTATTGCTTTGTTGATTGTCTAGATCAGGACTTCTTAAACTTTTTCCCACTAATTGTGTGGAAACTGAGCATTGTGTGGATGGAAGGCATGTGCAGTGCAAAAGGAGAGTCCTTTGTGTTCAGAACCAAGGCTGCAGTAAAGTTGCTCAATGCAACACGGGCAAGTGCTGCCAGAAACACCTCGGATTCATTAGCGTTTGATTTTGAATTAATTTTTGGTCGTTGCGCATTCAGAAACCTTTTACTATTGCCAAATTTTTCATGACCCCATATGGGGTTGTGACCCACGGTTTAAGAAACACTGGTCTAGAATTAAGAAATTAGTGGAGAAAATGTTAATAATGTAGACTAAACATAAAAATGTCTCCTGTGTTTTCTAAAATACATGTGGGATAGATGAACCCTAAGGTCTTTTCCAGCTCTAAATCTTATAATTCTATGAAGTGTATGGAGGACACAGAGGCATAGGAAATAGTATAGCAAGGCTAAAAATACAGGATAGTATGCTTAATTTATAAAAATGCATGGGCATCCATTATAACCCTGAGACAGAGTAGCATTATACTTCACTAGTGATGGTTTGTTTGTCCAAGAGGAATAAAAGTGAAAAATTGAGTGCTGAACCAAGGAAAAATATGAAAGGTAATTCTTTTTTTACAGATTAGAGTCATTGGATTTTTTAAAATTTAAAAAATTATTTATTTTAGAATCATTTAATCCTCATATTGGAAAAGATCATTGAGATTATTATTTAGTCCAGCTCCTTAATTTTTCAGATGTGGAAACTGAGGTCCAGAGATATTAAGTGATTTGTCCAAAGTGTCACAGCTTGTAAGTAGCATAGGTGGGAATGAAAACTCAGGTCTTCTGACTCCTTGTCCATTGCCTTTCCTAGAACACTAGGCTGAAATTGTTTCCTAGAAGAGTGTGAGATACATTCAATCATATACTCCCTTTCCTAACCCCCACCTCCCAAGACATATGGAATCCCTTTTCCTTTAATATGTCAAATATTTTGCAACAAATTCGATATTATTTTGAAGATTGTCTGATTTTTGTTGTTGTTCCATTAGGAACTTGGGGAACAAAGTAGATTATTTATGGAAGGTAAAATTCCTTTTTATGAAAGATAAATTACTTTTTTCTAGACCCCCTAACAGCAGCCATATGTCTTAAAGAGTTAAGTCACCTCCAAGGTGCTGCTTAATTCTAAAGAGTTTTTTTATGTGGGGATTGGACTATTATGTCTCTGGTATAGTTGCTAACAGGTAGTACTGTGTTATTAATGTTTTTTCCTTTATCTTACATTTCCACTTTTGAATATGAATTAAATGGAAAACAGAAAAAATGCATGAAGTCAGCTTCCAGGACAAAGAAAAGGAACACTTGACCCGGCTTCAGGATGCAGAGGAAATGAAGGTACAATCATGAAAGTCATGAAAAATTGGGCTTGCTTTCCTCTCTTCTTTTTCATGGTCTTCCATCAAAGCCAGAGATATATATTAGAATGAGGGATATAAAGTAGACAGACTGTTGTGATTTGAAAGTAGATCTTAGCTAGGGAAGAGCTGGCTAAATATTGATGTTAAAAATATGAGTCAAATGGCCCTGGTGTGTGGTACATAATAGAAAAGGCAATGATTATTCTCTTAACAATTTGTCCTCCATCTCAGATGAAGGGGAAAGATGTAAATAGAGTGTCCCCTCAAATGATTGCATCAGTCACTTTGTGGGTGCCTTCTAATGCATTGCCAGTTACTCCATTGTGAGCTGACATCTACAGTCAGAGCTCTTTTTTTTCTCCTTTCTTAACATGATAAATTTGAGTGTTTGTCTAGATGGAGCACTTTCATCTAGTCATATTTTAGGCAGAAAATGTAGTAACTAAGTTTATTAGTTCATTTAAGGATCATGCAAAGATGAAAAACCTTGGTCTTATTTTTTTTTATTACCAAACTATACTCTAGTTCAAGAAATCACAAGAAGAGCCTAATTGACCATAAGTGGTATATTGAGGGTTCTTCTTTTTCCTGTTTCATGTGCCATACCCATGGGAAATGCTCAATAAATGTTGTTGATGATAAACTAAAGGGCCAAATAAAGTTGAGGTCCCCAATCTGGAAAAAAAAAGGTAAACAACTTGTTCCCCCCAACTCCCTTTCACTTTTAAATAGTGCGGAGCTGGGCATGGTGATGCACACCTGTATCCCCTGCTGCTGAGGAAGCCTGAGGCTGGGGAACTCTTGAGTTCTGAGCTGTAGTAGAGCTAAGGCCAATAGAGTGTATGTAAGACACTATGTCCGGCAGCAGGATGGTGGGTCCTGGGCAGCTGAGCACCTAAGGAAGAGTGTGCCTGCCTAAGTTGGAAAACCAGAGTAGGGGAAAGCTTCTGTTTGATTACTGTTGAAATCAGACCTGCAGGTGGCCTGGGTGAGGCAGGGAGTTGTTCTTCAGACCTGTCTGATTCTTTGTGACCCCATTTGGAGTTTTCTTGGCAAAGATCTTGAAGTCGTTTGCCATTTCCTTCACTAGCTCATTTTACAGATGAGGAAACTGAGGCAAATAGGGTCAAGTGACCTGCCCAGGGCCATGTAGCTAGTAAATGTCTGAGGCTAGATTTGAACTCAGGAAGATGAGTCTTTATGACTTCAGGTCTGACACCTTATGCACTGTGCTATCTAGTTGCCCAAGACAGGAAGACTCATTTTCAAATTTTTTTTGTAAAAGGAGAAATTAAAAAATAAAAGAAAGAGAACAGAAATTTTTTTTCTAAATCAATCATTAAAAAAATAGAATGGAATTGGATGAACACATAACAGGTTTCCCAGAATTTTAATAAATGTTTAGTAGCTTATTATTTTCCTGGTGAGGTGTGGTGAGGGAACCTCTTAAATAGGGTCAGTGGGAGTTAAAAGTGGAGCTCTCTCTGTCTTTTCCTGAAAAAGGAAGACTCAAACCCAGGCTAAACATGGGGTAGTTATGTAGCAGCAGGACAGATTTCCTTGGAAATGAGCAGAGCATTCCCTATTTTTGGTTTGTTTGTTGTGGGTTTGCCATGCAGTCCTGTGCATACCTAACAGTATAGATTTGTATGTATGTATGTGTATATATCTACAGCATTACATTTTAAACTTTTTTTCTCTGTGAACAGAACATTAAAGTATTAAACTTTCTAAAATAAGTGTTATTAAAATAGCTTACAAATATGATAAACAAAGGATAACCTCCTTTAGTAACATTTTGGTTGTTTCAGGACAAGAAGGTAAAAGGTTGAGGTGGGGGGCAGTGAAAGAGAAAAAAAAAAGAGGGGATGAGAGGATCCCTGAAGAGCTTTTTCTAACACGAAGTTAAACCATAGGGCAATGGGAAGATAGACAGCTCACACAGCTATTGGAAAAAATGGGAACTTGGGATTTAATGCTTCAGAAAGGTCAGGGAACAAAAAAGCTTGATGAAGCTTTTATCTGTTGTGCTTCGTAAATTCCCATGGAAGTAATCTGAGTAATCCATTAACTGCATAATTTGAGACAACTTTTTTTCTTGCATACTTGCTCCTCCTCCAGTTCTGAGTATTCTCTTTTGAGTTAGCTTGGTATAGGGGACAGGTCCTGGGTCTGTGATTTCTTAGTTATTGGGAACTCTTGTGTGAGAAAACTTAAACCAAGATAGACTGGTACCTTCTTTGCAAGAGTTGAGTCATGTGGCCAAAATGGGGCCAAGGTAGAACTCTCCTCCTCCTACTACACCACGCTGCTGCCCCCTGGACTACAGAATCAGAAGACCTGAGTTTCCAGTCCCTGTAAGATCTAGATCTTTAGATAAATTGCTTTTGCCAAACTACACTGGAGTTCAAGAAATCTCACAAAAGAAGCTTTCTTGACCATAAGTGGCATGTTGAGGTTTCCCCTTTTTACTGTTTCATGTGCCATACCCATGGGAAATACTTAGTAAATGTTGTTGATGATAAAATGGCCTTAGGTTTTTTTTGTTTGTTTGTTTTTGGGTTTTTTTTTTTTTTGGCAATTAGGGTTAAGTGACATGCCCAGGGTCACACAGCTAGTAAGTGTCAAGTGTTTGGTCTGAGGCCGAATTTGAACTCAGGTCCTCCTGACTTCAGGGCCAGTTCTCTATCCACTGTGCCACCTAGCTGCCCCTTAGTTTTCTTATAACTTATGTCCTACCTGCCTCATGAGATTGTTATGATCAAATGAGATAATAGATGTGAATGAAAGTATTGTTCTTTTTGCCTCTTGTGGAAAAACAGGTGTGCACAGCTGTTAGGCAAGTGGATTAGCTAAATCGGGCTGACAGCTGCTTGTTCTGGGCAAAACAGGCCCTGAGGTAGACAAGTAAGTCTTCCTGGGTAAGCTTCTGTCCCCATTTTATGTCATGTCATCATGTTAATGAAAGCTGTTGCAGCCGTATTTTGCCCTCGAATTAGCATAGCTGCTACTTGCCTTTGTACATGACTTTCTCAAAGCATCTTCACACTCATGTCATTTGACCCTTACAGTCAGTCACCCTGTGTGAGGTGGATAGGGCAGATTTCATTATTCCCATTTTACAAAAGATGAAACTGACCCTTCAAAGTCATGCAGTGAATAAAGTAATGAAACCAGGACTAAAAATGAGTTCTTCCTAATTATTGTGGTTGTGGTGCTTTGGTTTTTTTTTTTAACTACACTCTGCCATCTTTGTGTACTTCTCTTATCCCATGACACAGTAGGTAGTGAGCTACCATAGGTCAGGTAAGCTTCAGAGAGATTCTAGGACCGTAGATTTAGAGCTAGAAGGAACTTAGAAGGAAGTCTTCTAGCATCTTCCAAAGGGGAAAACTGATGGCCAGAAAAGTTAGTGACTTGCTCAGTGTCATAATGGGCAGCAATGTGGCACAGTGGATCAGACAACTAGGCCTGGAGTAAGGAAGACTCATCTTTTTTAGTTCAAATCTGACCTCAGACATTTACTAGCTGTGTGACCTTGGATAAGTCACTTAACTCTGCCTCTTTCCTCATCGGTAAAATGAGCTGGAGAAGGAAATGACAAAACCACTCTGGTATCTTTGGCAAGAAAACCCCAGCGGGAGTCAACAAAGAATCAGACGTGACTTTAACGGCTAAACAATAACAATGACAAAGTCATAAAAGTAGTAGCAAAAACGGGTTCAAATCAAAGTCTCCTGACTCTCAATATTGTGCATTTTCTGTGACATCACACCACTGTTTAAAGGGAAAGCTTTTTTGTTTATTGTCAGGTGTTCCCCTGCCTCAAGTGCTGAATTAATCTTGCTGATCTGGTCACACAATTCCATTACAAATGCTTTGTGTTTGATGAGTCCCAGAAGAAGGGACAGTGGTTTCTGTGAGCAGAAGAGAGGGAATGTTCCTTGTTTAGAATATGATGTTCTGGAATAATGGCAAATTAGATCTGGGCTTATATAATGCTTAAACAAAAATGCAAGTGTCATTTCTCTTTGTATGGTCTGCAGAAAGCATTGGAGCAGCAAATGGAGAGTCATAGGGAAGCCCACCAGAAGCAGCTGTCCAGACTTCGAGATGAGATTGAAGAGAAGCAGAAAATCATTGATGAGATTCGAGAGTAAGTTGGCTTGGTGGTTCCATGGGATTAGGGGTAGCTGAAATATAGACACTTGTTCTTCAGTCAGCAGGAAACCAGAGAAATTTGCTTTCCCTTGAATCCTTGGAGGATTTGTGCCCTTTTCTTGTTTTCTTTCTCCTGCTGTGATAACAAGGTAGAGTTACAGTTCTGTTTTCAAGGCATATTCTCCCACTGGGACTGGGATTCCAAGGGCTCAGAGAACAGTTAGGAAGACAATCTAGACAAGCTGCCATTCTTAGTGTCCACAGGGCAGGGTGGACATTGGTGACTTTGATGGGCATAAGCACTGGTTCAGCAATTTGAGCTCCAAGTTACTCCTTGCTTCTGAATAATGGGATCCCATGAAGTTAAGTATGTTGGTGCAAATATATTTAAGTGAATCTGTGATAATCACTTATGTGAATAGTCCTTCCACTGGCATAGACCGCAACCTACTCATATCTTTATGTCCTGTGCAATTCTAGTGAATGCTTGTCCATACATCTTCCTTGGAAGATCCACCCAACATGCTGAAGAGCTTCCTCTGGCTCTTTGAATATTTCATGGCTACCACTGCTCAGTTTTTAGTCTATCTGCTTGTTTTCTTTTGCTTCTAATTACATGGTTAGGGTCCCTCCTTTTCTGGTCATATATGCCTTTAATAAAGCTTATTGTAGCACTTCCTATGTAGATGTTACAGTAATTTGCTGCAGCCTACTTGCACTACTTGCATTTTTCCCTTCTTTTCTTTTTAGTGTATGATTGATACTTTTTTTTGTATGTCACTAGTATTTTCTAGTACCCCCTCTGATCTTCCTTTCCAACAAAAATGTCCAGTTAAGGGGGGGAAAACCCTGAAAAATTGGTCATGCCTGAGAGCATATGCCTCATTCTGCATCTGCAGTTCACCACCTCCTTAGCAAGAAGAAGGAAACAGGCTTCATTATTAGACTTCTGGAATTTAAGAGTGGGCTATTCACTAGTATGAATTATAATATATTTTTGTACTATTTGCCTTTATATTTTTTGGTCATTGTGCTTGTTGGTTTTGTTTAGTTGGCTATGAATTAATTCATGGAAGTATTTACAAATTTCTTTAAATTCTTCATAGCCATCATTTCTCATGGCATGATGTTCCATGATTTTCTCTTATCAGAATTTGTTTAGTTATTCCCCCATTGATAGTCACCTACTTCATTTCCAGTATCTTGCTGCCACAAAAAAGATCATTATAAATATACTGTTACATAGGGGGTATTTCCTTCTCTCTTTAGATCTAATGAGATAAATGCCCAACAGTGATTTTGCTGTGTCAAAGGATATGAATAGTTTGGTGATTTTTCTAGAATAGTTCCAAATTGTTTTCTAGAATGCTTCAACCAATTCTCAACTCAAACTCCACTGTATTATTGTGTACTGAGCATCTTTACTGGTCCTTTGAATAACCTGCAATTTTGATTCTTCTGGGGCTGTGGTATTTCATGACTTGTACCCACATGGCATTAGTTAAGGCTGTTGGTGTGGAAAGGATGTATCAAGCATCTTGGAATCATTGATATTTCCCAAATGTGATGCAGCCTAACCTAATACTCCATGTAATTACATGCATAAAATAAATTCCCCTTGACTTGGGGATTTTGATAGTTTAATTCCAGAGAGTATACAGTTGTGCCTTCCATTTCATGAATTCATAATTGATTTATGTATCCACACTTTAAATAGTGTGACTGTTGTTTCCATTAACAAAGCAAGATGATTTGTGGTTAGAAACAGCATGATGAAGAGTGGATAGGGTGCTGGACTTGAAATCAGGAAGCTCTGGGTTCAAATCCCACCTCTGACACTAAGCAAATTACTTAAGGTAATTTACTCAGACCTCAGGTATTTCCCTAAGACTTATCTACTAAGTCATAGATATGTTTTAATCTGCTTGGGGGAGGGACAAAGAAATTCGTATACTGGGAGCTCCCCATACTGACAAGATCACGAATCCTTTAAGTATTTATGTATGCTTCAGAGTTATGCAGTTTGCCTGGAATTGTCATCTTATAGGAACATGGGGAAGGGACCTGATGCATTAATTACAGTATCACACAGGCTGTTGCTGCTTCTAGGACCTTTGCCAGAATTACAAAGTAAGAAATAATAGGAATGTTTAATTCCTGAGCATTTTTGGTCATTTGACAATTGATAACTGAGATTCAGAGAAGTTTAAATGACCTTCCCAAAGTCACACAAGTAGTTAGTTTAAGGATACAGTTGAGAGGTAAAAGCTGGAGTAGTAGAAGCCAGGTCTCGACTCATTCTTCACTGTCCTTCTCCACTACAACAACCTGTTTCAGGTGGTTATTCACATTTTTAAAAAAGATTCTTGTTAGCCCAAATTAAATCTAATTAGAATAAATGAGGGGAAAAGATATTTCCTTTTTGTTCTCCCTCTGTAGAACAGAACTTCTGTAGGGCAGAACTCTGGACTAGGATGAGGGGTTCCCCTTGCTACTTGAATCCCTTTTAATGAAAGGAAGAACTCTTTCTTCTCATCTGGTCTCTAAAAGGAAGGGGGCAAGGTTGAGTAGTACCTTTGCCAGGTAACCAAGTTAGTTTTTGTCTCTTTTCCTCACCTTTCTCTTCAAACCACATAGGAATCTAGAATAGATTCCCTCCTATATAAGGCTTATGGGGAAGTCCTCATTTTCAATGAAATGTTACTGACATGTCCCAATAGAAATCTACCAGTCTTCTCAAGGGATTAGTCCAATACCCTCTCCTGAAAGATATGTATGTGTGTGTGTATATGTGTGTGTATGTGTATATATGTGTGTGTATATATTTATGTATATACATATACACACACATGTATATATACTCCCCCACATATATATACACATTTTATATATATATATATATACACACACACATACATACATATATACATACATATATATGTTACGTGTAACTAAGGGTTTGATTGATGATAAACTTTTTTACAAATAATGGGAACTCTAAAAAGGGCTTCCCCCCCAGCATTTACCTTTTAGGAGAAGAAAATAAAACAAGTGATTGGTGACAAATGACCTTGTGAGAAAGGTACTACACATGAAGAAAATGAGTCTCAGAAAGACTAAGTGACTTATCCACAGACTAGTCAATGTTAAAGGTAGGATTTGAACTCAGTTGCAGTTGAAATTTGCCATATTCGATTCAGCTAACATTTATTAAGTTACTATTGTGTATAAGGCACTCTGCTAGGTAATAATTAAACAAAGTCAGAAATTAAATAATACTTGTCCTCAAGAATTTACATTTCAAATGTTGAGGAATAGAAAGTGAGAAAAGATAGAGCAACAAAAGATATGGGACATGAATGGGGACTGACCAAAAGGGTTACATTGGATATTTTGTGGAGATCTTTTAGATTTTGGGTTAGGAGCAATCTTTGGTCTCTCCCTAATGATCCGTTTCCTTTAGTGTCTTTTCAGTAATTTTTTATATTATATACCATACATTTACATTAGTTTGTATATTATATCATAAATATATTTCATATATAAATGGAAATATCTCCCCACTGATTTAGAAGGAAGCAGGAGTGCTGAATTTGAAGTCAGAAAACTTGAATTCAGGTTCTGACTATGTGACTATTATGACTACTTGTGGCCGCACCTCTGGCGCTCAGTTTCCTCATCTCGGTTCCCTTCTAGCTATGATCTTGTGATTTTGAAATTCTCTTAACAGTGCCTCCAACTACGCTCAGTACAAAACGGGCCTTAAATAAGTGTAATTGATTAGAAAAAGTTGAAAATTCTTTGGTGACCAGACTCTACGCAACAAATGGGGCCCGAGATTCTCTAAGCACTTAAAATGTGAAAAATGTTTCTGATCAAGGAAGGAAAAGCAATAGGAAAGGAAGATTGGGGGAAGAAGTTATGGTTTCCTGAGCTAGGCTGCAGTGGAAGTGGAGGAAGGTGGATTTTTTAAATGTTCTTTTTCTATTTCAAAATATCACCCCTTTTTTCTTTTATTTTTATTGCCCCTTCCAGAACACAATGATCTTTATTCTTTCTGTGTCCCATGACTTCATGCTTGTTGGAGCTTCTCCGAAGCTAGTTTTCACTTTGGCAGGTGGGGTACTTCACTGCTATTTCCTGACCATACCAGATCTCAAAATTTCCAGTCTTGAATGGAATCATGTTTTCAGTTAGCTTGCTCAGAATTTCTGACTCATTTGTTGTCTATCACTCAGGTAGACCAAGTCTGGTAACAGAATGTTGCAATTATTGCCCATCAGGTCTCATATATTTTCCCTTTCCCCTAAACATTTTATAGACTTTTGTACATGAATGTAAGTGCTTTGAAAATCACACTTTTGTATTCATTCCTATCAGCTACTTGCACCAAACTTTAGAAAATTATTTCCAGTTGTGAGGTCAGAGATCAGACCAGACACTTATTTGCTGTGACTAGTTCCCCTTCATCTCATGGCCTAGAGGCAGTGTAGCAAGTGGATAGAGAATTGGACTTGGAGTCAGAAAGACCTTGGTTGAAATCCTATCTCTTACTAGCTATGTGACCCTGAGTAATTCACTTAACTTGTCTGGGGCTCTGTTCCTTATCTGTAAAATGAATGGGTTGGATTGGATGGCCCCTAAGGTCTCTTCCAGCTCCATTTCCATGATCCTGTGAAGTAAGATTGGTTCCCCTTCTCTACAAAAAGTCATGATCATTGCAAAGGGATTAGCTGCCTTGATTGTGGAGATGATGAAGCCCAGACACCTCATACATTGATTAGGAATAATGGAGAGTTTGGCAAAGATGGGTATGTCATGTGTGAAGGAAGACTCTCCAAGCAGTCACTGCTGACCCCCTTCTGCCATGGCCTAAAGATTATCACACCCAAGGCTGTAGTGACTGACCCTTCTGGTGACCGTTAGCATCCTTTGCCCTGCGCCCCTCTTCCTTTGCTTATGTTCCCTGTTGTCTCCATTCCAGGGTGTCAGTCTAGGCCTTGACTGGAGTTAAAGTGTACCATAATAGGTTAAAGGCCTATTGCTTTATGCATTTCTGGTGTGTCTGGTTATTTATGAAAGCTTTCTAATCCCAAAGGAAACTGGGACAATTGCTTTTTCCTCTCAATTTCAGTTTGAACCAGAAGCTGCAGCTGGAACAAGAGAAATTGAGTTGTGATTATGACAAACTGAAAATAGAGGATCAGGAGAGAGAGATGAAATTGGAAAAGCTGATGTAAGTTGATCATTATGAGCCATTAAGCTCTGTTTAAAGTATTACTGCTTACTTCCCCGTAACTCATTCTTCACCTGAAAAGAGGTATCCCCAGGAGTTTTTCCAAAGTACTTTTGTGATTAACATAGCTAAACATCCTTTGTTAAATTGGGTTAATTTTAAGACACGTGAAAGTTCTTTGGTGCTATGAATTGGATGGTTTTGGAAGACTTGTCTGCAAACACAAATTGTTTGTTACTTGCTTGGGATTATTACAAATCCTTGAATCTCAATCTGTGGCTCATGAACCCATTTTTGATGTTGTTGTTTGTTTGTTTTTTAAGATTGCTCAATGACAAAAGGGAGCAAGCAAGAGAAGACCTTAAAGGATTAGAGGAAACTGTGGTATGTGAACAATTAATATGCTTCTCTGCTCCTGTTAACTCATTTTAAAAAATTGAAGTAAATTTATATTTTTTTACTGGTTTATCTGTGAAATTCTGTTTTATAGTGGCCTATTTCCTTACAAAATCCATTTTATAAAGGCATAGAATTATGGATTGTTAGAACTGAAAGACACTTTAGAGTTCATTGAGACCAAACCCCTTAATTTACACAAGAGAATACTCAAGCTCAGAGAGGTAAGGCAATTTTCCATGAGCCACATTCCAAGTTGGTAGCAGAACCATAACTAGATCCCTAATTCCTAGACTTCTAATTTGGTGTTCATTTGATTCCATCAGGATTTAAATTTTACATTTTCCAGATTTTTCTAGGATGCCATATTTCAAAGTGTTGACCCCCATTCCAATGCCTTCTGGCTCTCTTTTGACTGCCACTTGCCCTGGCCACTATCCTGAGCCAAAGAAAAACCTCAGGGGCACCTAGCTACTCCCTAGAGGTTCGTGTGAAATCAGGGTGTGTTCAGCTTATCTGTGTGGTCCATCCTCTCTTCAGGCTATTCCCAGAGATGAGAGTACATCACAAGAATGTACTCTAAAACAGGGCTTCTTAAACTTTTTCCACTTTGTAGTACAAAGGGTGAGTGCTGCATGTTCAGAACCAAGCCTGCAGTGAAGTTAGATGATGCAATATGGGCAAGCGCTGCCAGAAACTCTTCAGATTCATTATGCATTTGATTTTTAATTAATTTTTGGTTGTTGCAGGTTCAGAAACCTTTTACTATTGCCAAGTTTTTTGCAACCCCATATGGGGTTGTGGCCCATAGTTTAAGAAGCGCTGCTGTAAAGTACTGGGCGAGAGCATATCTGGGAATGGATAGGTAGTGCTAGGAGTCAAGCTGGGGGACCACTCACTTTTCTATAGCATTTTTTTTTTCCAAAAGCAGGAGGCAAAGTAGAAAAGGGTGAGGGGAATGTGGAAGAAAAGTGTAAAAGATATGTTCAGTTGGGAATGATTTCAGAAAGCAATCATAGAGAAGTTAGAGGGAAAGTTCATTGAAATGAGAACCAAATGTAGACATGAGTAAACAGCTCTTAAGTTAAAAAAAAAAAGACTTCCCAATACTCTCTAATAACATTTTCATTTCCTTCAAATGTTCATTTTTTGAAGAGGGAGGCTAACACCAAAACAAACAAACAAACAAAAGAAGCCAAAAGAAACAAATCCCAGGATAATTTTGTCCAATTTATGTCTTTTCAAAGTATCTGGTTCTCACATGTACCCAAGGAAATATCTTTTCCTTGATAATCATACATTTCCCCTCTCTTTACCTGTTAGGTGTGGAAGCATCTTTTCAAGGAAACTTTCAACTGATTTTAAATTTTTCAAAGTAAATGAGAGAATATCTAATTAAATAATATTCATTAAGGATCTGGAAATTGAGCTGCTTTCTGAAAAGTGTGCTGGTTAGTGTGTGCCTACAGTGTATATAACTGGAAGTAAAAAAGAAAAGTAAGAGGATTGAGAGCACTTAGTTTGGAAGACTTAAGCTTTGGATATGAACTGTATGGCACATTATTCATAATAAGAGAACTCTTTGGCTCACTTCAAAAAAGCAGTTAACCTCATTAAGGAAGGATTTGACTTCCAGGCTTGAGTAAGGACATTTTACTCCTCATATTCCAGTGGAGGACTGGACCCAGTAAGAACATATTAATTTAAAATAGCCCCTGTCTTCCAAATCACTGAGGGTTTCAGTAGTTCCCAGATTCCTTTGCTTTAACAAGACGACAAGATTTAGGTGGTGATATACTCCTGAATCATCTGCATCTCCTATCTTGTTAAATTGGGTTTAGTCAACCCAGACAAATTGAAATTTGAGTAGGCAGTGTCTTCTTTCTCAGAGAACATCCTGCAAGCTCTCTCCTGTGTCATGATGCATGTGGGATAATGTGTTTTTGCCAAGAATTTGAACTGAAATAAATAGGAAAAGGTTTAATGTTATGGCATTGCTCCAGTTCAGTAGCATTTGAAAATCTTTAAGTTTTTTTCTGAGTCAAATTAACTCATTCATTCAACAACTTTCTACATGTAAAGCATTGGGCTATTTACTAAGAGACCTACGAGATAATTAAAAGAAGATCTCTGCTCTTGGGGCGCTTACAGTCCAGTAAACTGCAAAGTGCCAATGTACCTTTGGTTCAGTTTGCTTTGCTGAAAATATTAATATTGGGATTTGGTTCATCATTCAACGAATCAGTATGCTTTGATCCAGCTTTTAGCTCAAGCTGTTGGTTTCTTCACTTTGGAACAAATCCTGAGTGTAAGTAGACTATGGGCATTACTTAGAAAATATTAGGTAATGTGTGGCTGTTTTAGACCTGAGTTCTGGCCAAATTTTACTGAACTCTGTAATTTTGTATACTTGTTCTCTTAGCCACCACATGAGCTCATCCACTAAAATATATATACGCTTATCCATGGGGGAATAATATTATTTGCCCTCCCTATCTCATGAAGTTCCTTTAAAGATCAAATCAAATTAATAGGAAAATACTTGGTAAACTATAAAGTGCCTTACCAAAATAAAGCATTTATTAATATTGATAACAATTATTACTATTGTTTCAGAGCTCAGCCACTTTTCCTCATGGAGGGCCCAAAGAATGTATAAGAAATTCTTATTTTATTAATGATCCTTATTATCAATCCTTATTTTATTAATATTAAGAAATTCAAATTTTTATTTTCATTCAAAATTCTAGATTTTTGACTCAATTTAGAATGTCTTGGTTTGCTTTTGTTAATAAATTGGGCTAGGCGAGTATATGTTTTCTTCACTCTTTTGTTGTCCTTTTGATGTGTTTAGTGGTAAGAGCAATGGATTAGAATTTAGGAAAACTGGATTCTAATTCTCTCCTTTCTTCTTGTTTGCCTTTAGGAAGCCACTTCTCTTTGGGCATCATTTTCCTTGCCTATAAAATGCTATCTTGTCTTTAAGGTCCTTTTAAGCTCTAAACTTATGATCAATAGCAATTATACATGAGAAATGTGTTAAAGGCATCCCATCTTTTTTATATATTTATGCATGTATAACAGATTTAACATGTTCAGTGATTTAGCTTTGAATGTGATTTTCAAAATTTTATTTTCTAGTCCAGAGAACTACAGACTCTTCATAACCTTCGAAAGCTCTTCGTCCAGGATCTCACCACCAGAGTTAAAAAAGTAAGCACTAGCATACCTGTATCAGAGGTAAAGATGTAAGTGTATCTTAAAGAGATGACTATGATCACAAAGAAGCAACCTAGATTCAAGAACAGGTCAACATGTCGTATTAACTGTATTTCCATTTTTGACAAGATTGTGAAAGTGATAGATCAAGAAATGTTGTTGACCTTTTTTTAAGAAATGTTGTTGGCCTTTTTTTTTTAAGTTATTTTTTAGCAAAGCAGTTAACACAATTTCTTACATTTTTCTTGTGGAAAAGTAATGACCAGACAATTAGTTGGATTCAGAGTTGATTGAATGGTCAAACCGATTCAAGTGGTCAAATGAAAAATAGTTATTAATGGTTCAAAGTCAACTTGGAAGGAAGGCATCCAGTGAGTAAATCAGGATATGTGATTGAACATGTAATGTTTAACATTATTATCAATGACTTGGATAAAAATATAGATTGCATATTGACCAGGCTTGGAAGTGATTTAAAGCTAGGCAATATAGGTAATATACTGTTTAGCAGAGTCAGAATTAAAAAAAGATTTTGATAGGACCAATTTGAGAGTCAACAAATTTGTAGAATTTGGGGGTCTTTTTCTCAACCTGAGAGCCTTTAAAAATTTGTTCTTTCTAATTTTCATAGAATTGGGCATGACCTAGTTTTTAGACAGCACTATTGATCACTAAGAAGTTGTGCTATTTTTGAGTATCTCTAATTAAGACTTCTATATTCATCCAAGTGTTACTGTAGTGGAGATGACTCTAAATGTTCAGTCTGGCGTCTTTTTTGAGTTTGTAGATTTTGGAATGTACCATTTAAAAAAGTGTGTCTCCTTATATTTGTTTGGTAGAGGAGAGACATTTTAGCCAAATTGATATGACCCATAACTTTTATGGCTGATTAAAGTTTTGGTTTTTTGCTTTTTAACTCCACCTTCCCCAAAAAAACAAACAAATAAAAAAAATGAAACCTCTGTCTTCGCAGAATTAGAAAACCAGTCAAGAATTAGGAAGTTGCCCAAAAAGTAGATTAACATTTTAGTGTTTTTCTTTCTTCTATTTGCAGATTAACCTATTTAGTGGTGGGAAAGGGGATGGTACTGGTGGTGATTGTGTATGTGTGTGTGTGTGTGTGTGTGTGTGTGTGTGTTTAAGATAATTTAATAGAATTTCATACCAAAATAAAATTTTTGGATAAAGTAGTTGGACATGGCCCTGTTTCTTTGTGAATAGTGATATAAGAAAATCAGAATGTGTGGGTTGTTTGTTTATTTAAATAGAGATTCTGTTTTAAAGCTCTATGTTTCTGGGTGTGGCATCAGAAGGGTCTCTAATTATCATCTGATATTTATTCAGAGTGTTGAACTGGACAGTGATGATGGAGGGGGAAGTGCTGCTCAGAAGCAGAAAATTTCCTTTCTTGAGAACAACTTGGAACAACTTACTAAGGTTCATAAACAGGTAGGATCGTTGTCTCCAGTTTCGATCTCGTCATTAACTCAAGAAAGGGTCCTTGTGAAGGCTAAAAGGGAACTTAGAAATCATCTTGTCCAAGCCCCTCATTTTATAGATGTGGATAATGAGGCTCTAATTGTGAAATAACTTGTTTAAGGTTATGCAGCTAGCCAATGATAGAATTGTTCTTTGGGGGTTAATCTAATCATGGGCGCTTGCTCATTTATCTGATGAAATTGATAACTTTTAAAAATATTTCACTTATATCCAACCTACCTCAGTCTGTTTCATAGCATAGCTTAGTAGATTTCATTCTAAGTAAATTCAGTAATAATTTAGATAAACACTCATAGTAAAACAAGGTCTAGAAAGTAATATAGAAAGAAAAATATGGTAAAACTGAAAGGTACTTTACGATGATAGCTAGCACTTATATGGTACTTTAAGGTTTGCAAAGCACCATGTATGTTGTCTCATTTCATCTTCATGGTAATCCTGCAGGGTAGCTACTATACTGATGCTCTCATGCTATCCTATTATAATTCTTGTAAATAATTCTTTTCTTCTCTTCATTATTTGACATATTTCAACATGGGTCATATTGCACTTATTTCAATGGACCACCTTGGTTGGCTACATGACCAAGATAAATGCCATTTCTCTTTCTCTTACTAACCTATCTCAATTCATTATTGCTGGTGATTTTTCTCTTGAGGGAATGTGACAGATAAAACATGATTGAAGTTTTGTTAGTTCCTGTAATTTCATCAGTATAAAGAATTCCTAATGATGACAGTCCTTTTCCCAATGTAGACTGGTAACCCTTCTGCACAAAGTTATACAAGTGAGTTATTGCTGAAAAATACAAAAGCAAGAGTTCACAGGGTTAACTGTAGTTGTATTTTCTTTGTATTTTGAAACAGTGATATCTTATGTCTGTGTAACATTTTACTAACTTCACAAACTTTGTACTTTTGTTATTTCATCTGAGCTTTCTGGCAGCCCTAAGAGGTAGGGTTTTTGTCCCCATTTTGCAGAATAGAAAATATAGAATTAGAGAGATTGTTATTTACTTAAGGAAACACATGAAGTAAGTCCTCTGACTCCTTGCCCAATGCTCTATCCACTATATAATGGGGGAAAAATCACATTTTTGGGGGAGTGAGAATTTTAGATCATAGAAAGATAAGTGGCAACAAACAGTGGCCAAGTTTCATAATTAGAATGAGAAGTCTGAATATATGTTCTCCTTATCACTTAGATATACTGATAGAATTAATTGTAACCAGGGATACTAAGGCATCTATACCATAGCAATCAGAGAGTATAGGGCTAAAATATGCAGCTTTCCTTTCTGTAACCCATATATTGTAGGCCTTTTCAATCAACTTTAACTCCCCTGTAATTCCCAAGTATTTATTATATTTTATTTCCTGTAAAAGTTCCAAGATTGTCTTTCCCAAAACAAAAGGAAATCAGGAGGTAACCTGTTAAGCACATCTAGCCCAAGAAGAAAAGGCCATGGTGTCAGTTTCCACCCTCATCCCATTACTGATTGAGAAATGCCATCTGACAAACTTAGCATCTCACCAAAGAAAGAATGAAAAAAGTAAAAAAAAGCAAAACAAAACAAACATACAGAAAAAGGAAGATAAATGCAATATTCCTCAAGGTTATCTCTAGTTACTTGTACCTGGTCTAGGTTCCCATCTCCTCAAATTTTTTCTCTGGATCCCCATTTCCTCTTCTCTGTTTCCCTCCCAATATTAATCTCAGTGACATACATTGTGGTTATATAACATGGACAGCTTACTTAAATTAGAAAGGTATGCCAAAAAAGAAAATACATTGAACAGGAAGAATTCTCAACTCCCATTTCCTCAAAGAAAATACCTCCCAACCCCCTGGAATGGAAAGTTATGAATTCATCCCATTCCTGGCCTCATGCTAGAGCTATAATACCTGATACCTAATCTGGGGAGGCAGGAAACAGTAGGTCAGCACCTTGCCTGTTGGATGACCATGCTGTTTAGGTTGCCATTCTACCGTCAAGTTTTCAGATTCTGTAGCTGGTATCCCTGGCATGGATGGAATTGGTGAGGCATGAACGCATAAAAGTCTGAAGTTTGGTATGAAGAGAAGTCTCAATTATCTAACACAGTCCTGCCTTATTGATGCCCAAAAGTTAGGCAGCAGAGGAAAGGGAAAGGCTGAATGTCTGCAAATGCTCATGGGATGAGGTATGACTTGGTGAGCAGGTCCAGGGGAGCCTTTTTCTTTTCTTCATTCTTTTTTTCCTTCACTTTCCTTCAGGCTTTGCATTCTTCTACATGTTTTCTTATGCAAGTTCATTCTGGAAATGCAACTACCTAATATCTCTCTGGATGATGTAGACATGCTGCAGAGTTCATAAAATGACCCTAAGGAGAGGGAGTTTGAAAAAGTTCCCCCAATAAATGAACTCACCCAACCCGTCTTAGGAATGTTGTCCAAAGAAAGCGTAGCATCTGTACCTACCCAGACACTGATCCCTTACAAAAATTAGGGAATTGCCTGGAGAAGGGGAGAAATTATGCTTACTGCTGCTACCCAGGTAGCTATGCTATCCTGTATGCCCAAAACCTGAGTCCGGGATGACCTCTATATGGTACATAGGGCTCCATTCAGGATAGGATGTGATGCCCTTCTGAACAACCCGGAGAGATAATCCCTGTCTGTCAGTCATATCCCTGCCTGTCACGGTTAAGGGGACAGAGGTTGCTGAGTCCTTTTCCTACCTCACTTGTTTCTCTGGTTACTAACCTCAGCCTAAAGATATAGAAACATTACCTTTGGATAGGTCCAAATAGCTGGTGGAGAGTCTTATTTCCATCAGAGACCAAGAAGACCCCACCACCCAATTTGAAGGGAGTATCTGACTTTCCCAAATGATCATGGTATCACAACCCAATCAAAGCCATGGGGAACCACTGGACAGTCAGGCCTTACTCTCTTCACTCTTCCCCGTGGCAGGCCTGAGTAGGAGATAGCTCCCTGCCCTCCTTGTGCCCCAAGTAACAAAGCCTGAGTACTTCCAGGACTGCCTTCTCCCACCCCAGCTGAAAATAGTGCCTCACAGCCCTACCCTGAATTTCTTTGCCCCCAAAGCCTCAGGTAGGCGCTGAAAGCTTCCAGGACTCAGTATGGCCCAGTTCTAGTCTCTAGAGTACAGTGAAGGTGGCTAAGACCCCCTTGCTGGGAGCCCATCTCATTCCTAGATGACGGGATTCCCTGCCTCTCTTCTTTCCCACCACCAACCCACAAACGATAGGTCTGGGTTCCATTCCCACCGTAGAGTCTGATCAAATCCTCTCACTGTGAGCAGTTACTCCACAACAGCAGCCCCAGCTCACACTTGGGGCACATTTAAAGGACCTGATCCTTTTATTGGTCCTGTTCCTGAATAGAAAAATGAATATTAAGTCTAAAGATCCAATTTCAAGTCAGTAAAGAACTTCAGTATCATTAAAGACTTGAGATGAAATTTTTTTTCAGAAGTCCAAATAGATGCATCAATGGAAAGGATGGAAGAAGTGCCATAAGAAAACTTAAATTGGACAATAAATGTATTAGAGTCAGGAACCATTTTGCCTGGAGCAGGCTTTTCTGAAGTAAGAGGAAGCCTCTGATTTTTTGAGCCAGATATTCTATTTAGCATCATCCTAGGAGCAAGGAACCCTAAGAATAAAATCTAAACTTAAAAGGCTTTCTTGAAGGATAACTGTTGAGTACTCTAATTCTTTTTCAAGGGCTCAAACAATGTCTAGTGGTTAAAGAGGTGCACATCAACCTGGAGAATTTTCATTCAGACTAAAATCTGGAGTAGAAAGTCTAATCCTGACTGGTTTATTTCAATAATGGAAATTTATCTAAGTTAGAAATTGAAATAGCTGTAATAGATAACTTTTTAGCATATTCCTTTCATTTCAAATTGAGACACATTAGTCTCAATTTGAGATTATATTTCACTTGGGGGACTTGCTCCAAGGAATCCAATTTGTTGTATGCTTCTGGTAGAGAAAGGATTTGGAGCAAAAGAAGGCTGTGAAACTTGGTGAAAATTTATCAGTTCTTCAACTCACACTTCAGAAATATATGTCCATGTCCATGAATGTCCATGACCTGGAAGCATTTTGGGAGGTAGAAGTAGATTGCATTTATCATCACTATTGACTTCACCTTTTCTTGGCACGGTCATCCTGAGATAAACCAGGAACCATGGCAAAGATGATAAAACCGGCAATAACATTGTGATTCAAGAGAACTAAGCTGCCCTATGCAAGCATGATGGGAATGGCTTACATACAATACCAGAATCTTCTTGGAGATGGCCAAATTCCAAGATGTTCATCAGTGGTACTTATTTCATTGAAGACTGCAGTACTGAGAGAAAGGAGAAAAGATTTTTTTGTTAATTTTTACATAACAGTTAGGAATATGACCCATCACTGTACCGGAGTTGTTAGGAAGGAACTCCCATGGAAGTCATATCTTAGCCTGATACAATGGTATAACTAGGTGGCACAGTGAATAGAATGGTGCACCTGGAGTTAGGAGGATCTGAATTCAAATTTGACTTCAGACATTTACTAGCTACGTGACCTTGGGCAAGTCACTTAACCTCTGCTTCAGTTTCCTCAATTGTAAAATGAGAATTATAATAGCACTTTCTTCCTAGGGTTGTTAGGAAGATAAAAAATGAGAGATTTGTGAAGCACTTTGTGAACCTTAAAGGAGCTACATAAATGCTAGTTATCATCATCGTCAATGCCACCTGGCATTTCCTCAATTAATCTCATTTTGCCAGAGCTCTAGATCAAGGGATAGTTTGAATTTTTCTTAATTGATATGATTTCAATATCTCTCAATTAACCTAACTCAGAACCCCCACCTCTAGTTCATTAAATATGAATTAACGAAGTAGAAAAATCTCCTTTTCCAATTTTACTCATCTCTCTATTAAATCACTTAATTTCTTAGGATTATAAATATATTAAAATTATTGAAAATATGGTTTATGAGTGATGAAGTTAATAATAAAACAAAGACAACGATAATTTATTTACAATATTTTAGCTGTAAGAATGATTACCTAAACCTTCATTTGTAATACTAGGCAGATGATTTTTCTTCTGAAAAACAGTATCACACCATTTAGTTCACTAAGGATAATAGAATCTCTTCACTAGAACCCTCTTCATTCTCTTCATAAGATAAAGGTTATAATAGTTTCCAAAAGGAAGAAGGTGTCTCCAATCTTCTCTCTCTTCTTTCTCACCGTTCTCTAGACCTGACTGGAAAATGATATCTTTAACATCTTTCAAACCCTGATTCTTCTTTTTCCAGTCTTATTCCTTATAAAATTGTCTTTATCATGGTTTTTCATAGAATAACAGTTAAGACAGTTCTTATTAAAATAAATTTTTCAGTATCTCATAGTTCTTTATAGATAGATGAAGGGTAAACTCAGATATACTTTCCACAATTCCACAGGAAGAAGCCCAAGCTAGAAGGTTTGTTGTTGTTCATTTGTTTCAGTCAAATCTGACTTTTCTTGACTCCATTTGGGGTTTTCTTAGCAAAGATACTGGAGTAGTTTGCCATTTCCTTCTCCAGCTCATTTTACAGATAAGGAAACTGAGGCAAACGGGGTTAAGTGACTTGCCCAGTGTCACACATCAGTAGTGTCTGAAGCCAGATTTGAACACGGTGAGTCTTCCTGACTCCAGGCCTGGCACTCTATGCACTATGGTGCCATCTAGCTGCCCCCACAAAAGGATAGTCATAGCTTAATTCTATTAGCTTCTCTCCTCAAAGTCACCCCAATAGTCTCTATAGCTTCTGTGGAAGAGGCTTTTGAAGCAGTGGTTATATTTATATATTCTAATCATAGTAGGGCTGATTGCTACCTTCAGGAGTTTCTTCATAGTCTTAAGAAGCAAGACCAAAGATTGAACGCGGATGGCTGCTGGATTTTTGAACTCTGGCCCTCATTTTATTCTAGACATCTGAGCAGAAATTCTTAAAGATCAAACTTTTCTCTAAAAGAAATCGAATCTCCCCAAAGGAGCACACAGGCAGGATTTTCCTATATCCCATATAGAGATGAACTTCCTACCATAAGCAGCCCTGAAGGGATTGGTTTGTCTTAAAGATCATTAAGGTGAGGGAACTTTCCTTGTCACATTAAGAAAGCAAACAACTGGATAATTGTTCTCTTCTGTAGCTTCTAGTATGTCATTTACTTATTTTTAAATGAAGATGAAGCTAGGATTCCTTGAATACAAAATAGTCTGAAAATGCTTATGTTGCTTTGACTCCCACAGTCTCATAACAGTCTAACTTCATTTTCTGAAGTTCCAATAAAAGGATGCAAGAGAGGCTTCTCAGGGATTTAGATTTCTTAGGCAAAGAGAGAGTTTGTCATCTATTGGCCAGAGTCAGAGCTCCAAGAGGTGCAGAAAACTTTAGCCAGCAGTCTCAAAGCAGAGATGCGGAATCCTTATCTTCCTCTCATGATCCTCTTACTGATTTTGCAATCTCAGGTTCACACCCAGAGTTCTGTCTGTTTCACTCCAGGAGTGGAGAACGTGCAGCCTTAAGGCCCCTTAATAAAACAATTTGTTCTGTAAAACTTAGTTATTGCTGTGGCTGTTTCATTATCCCTTGAAGGTACAGTTTTTATTTTTCCCTCTAGCCTAAAGGAATGACATTTAGAGTGATTGTGACATTCATAGACAAATTGCTTCCTAATTCTGATTGGAATAAAATATCAAGAAGTATCCCAGATATTCTTGTGTAACTTCCACTGTGAACCAGATTTGAGGTGAAAGAATAAAAAAGCAGCATTTCTAGGAGCTGGAAATGTTTGTGATATGCTGAGCTTTTCCCTTCTCATCTTCTCCTGATATACCGCCTAAATCTCAATATGTTCATAGAACAGATTCTAGCAAATATATTTCCCTTGAAGATACTTGGCAGATCTTGAAATTTCAGGGGATGCGTCTGAAGAAGGTAGAGACCACAAGAGAGTATTTGACATAGTCCAGCATTGGAACGCGAGACAAATGAGCTGAATGAAAATAGATGGTAGGAAGTGTCGGTTAATTTTGTGGGAGAAAATATTTTCTAAAAATATTATTACAAATATTGACTGCTTTAAAAAACATCACTACTTTTTTCAAGTGTTGCCAATTTGGAACTCCATTGCTTTACCCTGAAGCATGGAAAGTAAATTGGATATATTCATAAATGGGCAGTTCAGAATTATTTTTCTTCAAGAAAAGTAGGAATGTGTTAGGTTTTTTTTTTTATTTAACTCCATGTATTTTGTGTGGTCATTACTCCAATCAGATGATATTTAAGGAAGATTTTTTTTCCCCTCCTTAGTCCCTAGTAAAATGACTATATATTTTCGAGGATTTCAGGTAGACAAAACCTACAATGTGGGAAGGTACAATGTTCTTTTTCCTTTTCAATTTCTTTAGGTTGCAGTCTAATTTTGATAATTTCCTCCAGTATTTACATAAACACACACATGGGAATTCTGGAAAAGCTATAGGATTAAGTTAAACTGATAGTTTAAATAAACACACCAAATACACGAAAAAAGGATAAACAGGGACAGTTAGGTGGCGCAGTGGATAGAGCACCAGCCCTGGAGTCAGGAGAACTTGAGTTCAAATCCAGCCTCACACACATAACATTCATTAGTTGAGTGACTCTCAGCAAGTCACTTAACCCCAAATGCCTCACAAAAAAAGAATAAACAGGGAAATTTCTGGAAAAAATAGTATTAGATTTCTAAATTTTAACTATTAATTTGCTCAAATAGCAATAAAAGATTATAAGGTACTTATATGTTTACATGATGAAATTTTCATGATTTGAAAATCATTTGTATTTGATTTGTGTTGTATTCTGTTTATATTCTGTTCAGAAATAGCACAACTATATATTTCTTATTTCAGAATTTCCAGAAGAAATCTTTGTATAAAATGTAAAATTATTATAACTTAAGCTATTAATTTAAGTTTATATAGTTCACATTCACAGTTAAAAAACAGTACTGGTCATCAATGTGTTTTTCAATGTTGTCACTTCTTTAGAAATAATTAGTATTTATGTGAATTTGTTTAAAGAATTAAAGAAAGATATAAAGTAGTTTAAAATGAAAGACAAAGCTAAAGGAAAATTAAGGAAACTAAAATTGGGTTCAAAGATTTAAAAATTCTGTTACAGATATTATACATTCATAATATAAATATGAAGTTGAACAAAAATAATAGATTAAAAATAAATAAAATTGAAGAGCAAACCCAGGGAGTAACAGAACTGAGGTGTTTTTATCTATTACTTTTGCTCAACTTCATATGATATAGATATCGATAGATATTTATATCTATATCTATCTATCTGGCGTAACAGATTTGGAAGACAAAGCAAGCAATATTAACCTTCGATTCATTGAGGCCTCCAAAGATATCTGAAAAGAAAAAAAAGTTAGGCATTATATTTGAGGATCCAGTAATTAAAGAAAAATTTCCTAAGTGTACAGGATCAGGTATTCTCTGCATTTCTATATGTGAAGAGAATACACAGGACACTAGCAGGGAGAAATTCTGATTACCAAGATTTACTGACACATAATTATAACATGACTTATAATTTATAAAATTAGACAAAGAAAAACTCTTCAAATGTCAAGAAAGAAAAGAGAATTCACAGTTAAATAAATACCAGGACAATATTGGACTTAAAAAAAAAAGAAAAATGTCAGAGTTGGACAAAAATATACAGAAGTCCTAAACACAGCCAGAGGTAAAGCATTTAATGCTGCTAGAAATGGTATTTGGTTCCCTACTGCCTTCAGCCAGCCATCTGTGTTTAGCAAATCAGGGTCACACATCTTGTGATTTTTATTCCCTTGGAGTCATTTAACAGAGTTTATGGTGATTTGGATTTTCAAAGACGACTAAACAGGTGGCTAGTCAGCTGCTGTCTTGTTTCTAATGACCCTCATTTTAAAGTCCTATCCCTTCTCTCGACTGGATGAAATATTTCTGTAAGCTTTGCTGCCTCTCCAGTAACTCACAGCCTCTTCCCCTGTCACCCTCCTCCATCCTAGCTGGTTCGTGATAATGCAGATCTTCGTTGTGAGCTTCCTAAGCTGGAGAAAAGACTTCGTGCTACGGCGGAGCGAGTCAAGGCACTGGAGAGTGCACTGAAGGAAGCCAAGGAGAATGCCATGCGTGACCGCAAGCGATACCAACAGGAGGTAGATCGCATCAAAGAGGCGGTGAGAGCCAAGAATATGGCAAGAAGAGCCCATTCCGCTCAGATTGGTATGTATTCACGAAGGTCCAAAATCTATGACTTCTACCTTTGCACTTAGCGAAAGATGAACTCACCACAGAAAAGCAAACAGTTCTGATGCTTCATCTTATTTTCTCCATGTAAGGACTGGTATCTTGTCATTGTACCTTAATAGAGATGTTCCTAAAAGGCTCTGTGTCAATGGATTCGTTCTTTAAATACAATAGGGGAGGAGCCTACTACTTAAAGGAGATCCAGAGGGAATCATAGAAGAATCCTTCTGAAAAGTAGATTACCTCCCCCCCCCCACCCCAAACTTGTTACTTTGGATCTTTCATCTATCTGGTTTTGCTCATAAGTATGGAATCTTCTATAGAGTTCTCTGAAGCCTCTGCTAGATCAGAACTTGTCTGGTCTTGAGGTGAAGTTATTTGACTGTAGATACTAACATATTTCCTTTTCCAGTCTCCTGTTAGTGATGTTGGAATAACCCTTTCCACCAACATATTTATTTATCTACCCCGTGCAGAAGTGCTGTGCCCCTAGGTCAGGGGTTGACACACAGCCTGAAGCCTATATTCCAAGAGCTTGGGGACTGATGGTGAGAGGAACAGGGTGATGTTCCTTAAATGTCAAGGTTCTCTCTTTTTTCTTTTTTCATTCTTGTAAAAGTTTATTGCCTTTTGTTGTTACATTACCTTTATTTCCAAATATATCCCTTTCTCCTCTTTTGCTCAGAGAGCTATCCCTTATAGCAAAGAATTCCTTAAAAGGAAGAGAACACAGTTCAACAATATTAACCAACATATCAACTCAATCCGACAATATACATAATATTCAATATCCATAACCCATATAATGAAAGGAGGGAGGTGCATTTTCTCATCTCATCCCTAAAACCAAGCTCGGTCTTCATACATAAAGCAAGTTCAGATTTCTTTGGTGTTTTGTGGTGTGTGTGTGTGTGTGTGTGTGTGTGTGTGTGTGTGTGTGTGTGTGTGTGTGTGTGTGTGTGTGTGTGTGTAGCACTCTATCTGGGCATCTCTCCCAATTTGCTCTCACAATAGGGGGTTGGGTTCCCAGATGGCAACTGCTTCTTCAGACTCTAAGAATACCCTGTGGGTATGTATTCCTACTCATAAGCCTTCCACCATTGAGCTTACCTTTACTAATCAGCCAGTGGACATAGTTAACTCAAGTGAAAGGTAGGAGGTATTTATTAAAGCTGCACAGTTAGAACGGTACCTATAAAACACTCCTTCCATAAATGTGGGCCCATGTTTCCTCAGATATTCCAATCTGGAAGAAGAGTGGACATAAACTTAGAGTACAATGGTATTCTGGCACATATGGGTAACGTGGCCAGAGCAACTCGTGCCTCCAGAATGACAGGACCCTGATAACCTTCCTCTCCTTTTGGAGTTCTCATACACTTCTTCTGTAGACCCAGCATCTTTGCTGGGTGGATTGTTTATCTGAGTTCCCAGGTTCTGTTCTTCATAGCTTGATATTTGATTGCCAGAGCTAGTTCTTCCTTGAAACTATGGTCAGCTCTCTTCTCTGCTTCCAATGATCATGGTCCTTTAAACTGCTTCTTCCTCATAGGCACTACTTCTCTGGGTCAGTGTCTGATTGGAGAGTGTATGTCTTTTTTCCCCTCCACAGTAACTAAACGATGGATGCATTATCTCCTACTGGATCAATAGCTCTGGTGTGAAAAACAATGGTTGATGGGGTTGAGAGGGGAGGAAAAATCCACTTATCCTTTGCAGCTGCCCTCTGGTGTAGGAGATCATGCTCAATAAAGCTACTCCTGGTCTGGACTGGCTGAAGAGCTAGTAAGCTCAGCCTTTGAAGGGGCCATAAAGGGATGGCCAACCTTTCACCAATGGTGGTACCCTTTTCAATTCAGCTAAACTTTCATATTTCATAAAGTGACATGCCACAGGCATATTTTTTACAGTTAGCCTAACACTTTATTATCTGTACTTTATGGGTTTTCTGGGCTAGGGAAGGGGGTTTTCAGAAACCATTTCCTTCTCTTACATTTGTTATTTGTTCCTGCTATTTGCATTGTTATGATCATGTGTATATTGTTTTCCTGGTTCTTACTTCACTCTGTATCAGTTCATATGATTCTTCTTGCATTTCTCTGTGTTCTTTATAGTGTTTCCTAAGGCACAGCAACATCATTTTTTTGTCCAGTTTATACTTTTTTCCCAGTTTTTTGCTACCAGAACAATAAATATATAGAGCCTTTATATCTTTGACCTCCTTGGACTATATGCCTAACAGTAGAATCTTTGGGTTAAAAGGCATGGATATTTTAGTCACTTTCTAAGCATAATTTCAAATTGATTTCCAGAATGGTTAATTCATAGCACTACCAACCATACAGTAGTGAGATTGCCTTTCCATAGTCCGTCTAAGGTGTGTGTGTATATGTACATACATGCATATGTATATATTTATTTCTTTAAATAAAATTTTATATAGCCATAATATAATGTGGTATTCCAGGTAAATTGATTCCAGGTGATATTCCTTTCTTTTAAAATACTGATATCTTTTGTCTTTACATGGAGACATCTCCCCCCAAACCCTAACGTACCCCTCTTCAGATTGAACCATTACTTTTCAGAAAGAAAAACACTAAGCAAAACATCTGATACAGAAAGCTTGTATAACTAGGTATTCCTTTATAAACCCATGTTATAAATTGACAGCTTTACTTTTCAAATATACAATTTTAAAGTCAGATCTTACATTTCAATGGAAAATCCTTAGTTTTTTTTCCTTTGATATATCATTCTGCTTTGCACAACTCTTAAAACAAACAAGTCAGTTCATTTCTACGGTCCCTTCTAGCTTTTAAATTCTACAAGATATATCTACTTCACATGATGTATGAAGTGTCCCATGCCCATAAACATTTGACAGACCAGGAAACCTAACTGTGTTATCTAGAAAACAGGACATGGGTGGTTGCTAGGCATTGGGATTGTCATCAGGTGTCATGTTTTCATTTTAACAATCATCAAATAGGCAGCTTGGACTTGTTGTTTAACATATTTTGAGTGTGGTTTTTTTTCCTTTTCCTTTTCCTTTTGTTTTTGTTTTTTGATATAGCCAAGCCAATCCGTCCAGGTCATTACCCTGCATCCTCACCAACAGCTGTACATGCCATTCGAGGAGGAGGAGGCGGGTCATCTGCCTACTACCAGAAATAAACAAGAAGTAAGTCTCTGCTAGGCATGATGGTTACCACTATGAAACTAATCTGAACATGTTCACTGACAAGCTCTGGGTCAAATGCCTTGGACAGGTCTAATCCTCTTTTCAGGGGTCTGGATCTCTGGTAGAAGGGGCCAAGAATGAAGCTATATCATTCATTGAACTTTCTCTGGAGAGCACATCTGCTTTAGGCACATAGCAAGATCCTAAACAATCAGAATCCCTAGGCCTACTCTCATCCACTTCTAAATCCTGTAAATCTTCTGAACTCTGGGTATTTAGGCTGAGACTTACATAGTCTGTGGGAATGGGTGGAAAGGGTATGATGAATTATTTACCAGGTATTCACTGGACTTCAGGATTCTCAGCAAAAGAATATTTCATGTTGTCCAATGGCTTTGATGAGGGACTTGGGTGGCTGCCTGGTGCATACAAGATCTGAGTGTGAAATAAAAGCTGAGCCATAGAAGGGAATCTTTTTGTAATTATTATTAAAAGTCACTAGTTTAGGTTAAATGATTGTACATTATATATTAAACAAGTCACTTTTTTCCATTCAAGGTTGTGGTGTATACACTTCTTAAGCTTGCAAACCCCATGCCTTAATTATCACCCTTACATTAATTTTTTTTTCAGTGCAACAGTACATTACTGTTGTAATGAAAACTAAGGAAAGATGTTAGGAACAGGGAAGAGAAGGTGAGAAAACTTAGGGATCTAGCAACACTAGTATCTAGAAAAGTTCTGATTTTTCAGTGGATGAGTGCCTCAATGTATGAATGTGGACATGAGCTGGAAAATTACAGTTCTTGGTGTTTGTATGTTCTTACTGAGAAATATTTGCAAAGAAAGCAGACTTTCAAGGTGAGAAAAAAAGATACGACAAAAAAAGTACTGTACTGCCTTTGGGAGAATTGTTTCCTATCTTGCATCAAGGCAAAGGTAAGAATATATATGAGAATAGAGGGCATATCAAATGGAATTAGATGAAATTGCTAATGTGTGAAGTAATGTTGCTCAACCTTTGGTCACTTGTAGAATGGCTACATCCAAACAATATTCAGAGAAGCTAACTTGTGCCATGGAGCAGGGCATATGAAATGGACAAAATGGGAAGGAAAGCCAGGGCTTTTGTGAGCAGCCTTACCCCCCATTAGCTGCCACTCTTCCCTAGTAGTTGGGATAAGAAATTACTTTGGCTGTAGACTAGTTTAGATTTAGACCTCCACTTTGGACTAGCACTTGAATATTACATTGATTTGAAAATCACAATCTCTTTAGTGATAACCCAGTGATCCAGAAAGTTATCAGATATGTCTTGCATTCAACACATGTTTGTTGATTCATTGACCAATAGCTATTTATCTCCAATATTGTAGATGAAAGTTTGGCGCTCAGTGGGTGTAAATTTATTTTGCCAATCCTGCCAAGTAATTGATTGTCTGATTTTCTTTTAAGATCAGGTTATCTGTAAGTGATTTGTTTATGAAATTTTATTGTTGCTTGTCTTTAAAATGCCTACCAACTATGTCCTTTATATATCCTAAAGATCTAGAGGTCAGACCCACCACATAGAAGCTTGTTGAGCATCGCAGTACCTTCCAAAGGAAGATTCCTATCCAGGCCACTGTGGCTTCTTAACTGTTAGTGTTTTAATGAACAGAAGAGTTGTTTGTTTTTTTTTTAAATTCCCTTTTCCCTTCCTACACCAAAAGATAGTGCTTCTTAATTTCCATTGATTAAACGTATAACTCTCATAATATGTCATTTCACTCATCTCAAAAGACACTTGCTTCCTAACCTGCAGAAAATACAAATACTCTGCTACTTTAGGTATTCGTTTAAGTGTTGTATGTCTTTAAGTCTGTCCACATTAGCATTGATTAGTTTAGGTTATGGCCTCCTAACCGACAGGTTCAATGCCTGACTTCCCTCTTCATGACATCTTATTCTATGTTTCTATGCAGGGAAGGGATTTTAATATCATCTTTGATATCTCTTGAGGATGGAAGAAACAGTATTCAAGAGGAATAGAAGTGTGTTACAAGGACATGGGGTGAAAAGAGGATCCTTACAAATATTGCTGATGAAATCAAGCTTTTGCTTTAAGGGATCTCAGTAGGAAGCATCATCTCTTGGTTTTAAGAAACTATTAGAATCTCAATCCAGTTCCTAATTTGTTATTTCTGCTTTTATTTCTCTTCTCTGTTCAAGGTCTTAACCTGTGTATTATTGAGTCTATGGCACATCTATATTCATTAGTCTCCAATCTCAGTCACCACTTAACATCAGAGTAGGTAACAAATGGCACTCGTATTGTTTAGCACCAATAGAAATTAATTGGTGGCCCACTGACATGTTCTCACAAAGTGTCATTCTGTTTTCTCTCTTTTTCTCTCCTTTCTCTTTCTCCTTTCTTCTCTACCTTATCCTTTCCCTGTTTTCCCTTTTTCCTTTATTTTATTTAGATTTGTCAGCATTATAGACACTATGTAGCCTTAGACTGGGCAGAACTAAAAAGCTTGCCGATTGTTGATGTAATACGTATTTGGCAAGTAATATTTATTCCTCTACGAAACTTTGAAGGCACAGACAAAACATTTGGTGGGGGAATATGGGAGAACATTTGAAAAAAAAATCCACTGAAATCCATCCAATGCTTATTTTTTTCATACTCTTTATAGACCAAAGGTTATTTTGTTAGGTTAGGAACATAAAAGTATAACATTGGTTTGCTCATAAATTTAGCATGCTTAGTGTATAAAAAAAAAATAACTAAGGGATGGAACAGAAACACTATTTTTGGGAAGGGGGAAGACAATGGGTTTTCTTTTGATTGGGGAAAAAAAATCCTGTGAGGGAGAAAAACCTCTAGCGAAAATCCTCCTTCTCCCAATGGGGTGTGGGGAAACTGCAGCCTCGAGGCTACATGTGGCCCTCTGGCTCCTCAAGTGCAGTCCTTTGACTGAATTCAAACTTCATAAATAATAAAAATAAATAAAATAAAATAAATGATGAAAGGATTTTTCCTGTGAAGTTTGGATTCAGTCAAAGGGCCACACTTGAGGACCCAGAGGGCCACATGTGGCCTCAAGGCCGTAGGTTCCCCACCCCTGCATCATTTTGAGTTTTTCTATTTCTACTTCTAGGGCATTTAGCATATGGCAAAAGTAATACTTGACAAGAATCTGCCTTAGACTGATTTAGGTAGGTATAAAAGACAGTAGCCAGAAAGACTAAACCTTCACTTCTCCCCACTTCCATACTTATTGAGAATCCTTAACATTTTTTCTGATTCCCTGGTGGTTTTTTCTTAATAGGAAAAAAAAAATCTTGAGTGCATGTTTATATGTTCCCACCAGATGGAGCTGGTGGGGTGTTTCTGAAATCTTGTTTCCACTAAGGTTTGAAAGAATTGTGGGTGCAATTTGGCTATATTAAAGTAGCCTTTATTTTATCATTCCTTCTAAAAATGCAAAAGAATTCTTCCCTCCCTAACTCTGTTGGTACAGAATATTGGTCTGAATTTATTAAGGTGGATGAACTATCTAAACATAAGGTATGGTGGTATTATTATTATTATTATTGCAGAAGTAGAGGGCTGATTCCAAAGGACTCTCCCATTCACCTTGGTGTTTAGCCTGTTTCCTTTATTCAAAGTATTGAACTTATGCTTAACCAGTTCAGTCAAAGGTTATCCTCTACACTTGAATTTCTTGTCTCTGTCCTATCACCATTCACACCTAAATCACTTCATAATCTGCCTTCTTTGCTCCTACTCACATGCTGCTGAATGCTATTAGAGAAAGTCTTATAACTATGTCTTCAGCATACACTATAAATTGATATTATTTAATTTCCACTGAGCTTTCATTGCTTCATGGCAGTCTTTTTTATTTTTTCCTGTTTGATTTTCCATCACACTCTCAATAGCATCCATTTTAAACTTCCTCACTTGTCCCAGATGCCCTATACTACCTCTTCTTCCTTCCATTTAGCAAAAAACCTCACCTTCTGCATTACTGAGAAAACAGAGACTGTCACCAGATTCCTCTTTCTTATTAATTGACATCTTAAAATTCCTTTTCATCATCTTGTCTTTGCTCTTCCTTTGCTCCAGTCTGTTCTCTCCAAAGTTACCAGTAATATTGTAGCTATTAAATCTAAAGACCTATTCTCAGTCCTCATTCTATTTGACTTCTCACATAGTATTTGATACTATCCTTTTCTCCTAGATACTTCTCCTTGAGCTTTTGTGACACTTCACTTATGTATCTCTCCTACTTCTGACTCTTCCTTCTCAATCTCCTTTCACTAGAGTATCTTTCACGTCCCATGAACTAGATTCTCTTTTCCCTTGACTTCAGCCATTTGTGATTTCAGTTCCAGTAGGTTCGATTATCATATTTATGTAGATGATTCCCAAATCCAATCTTAACTTCTTTTCTGAATTCCAGCATTAAATGAAGGTTGAATCTCTTCTCTTAAGAGAAGAAACAATTACATTCTTAATTGTTTAAAGCCCTCAAAAAAAATCTCATTCCCACTTTCTAGTGTTTGGCACACTATTCCCTTCGTAGAATTTCTGGTCCAATCACACTCGCCTACTAAATATTCCATCTTCTGCCTCTGTGCCTTGGTAAGGAGTCCCTCCCTGTATGGAATGCTTACCTACTTAGCTTTACCTCTTAATATGCCTGGTTTTCTTTAAAGCACAATTCAAATGCTATTTCCTATGTGATGTCTTTCTTGATCCACCCAAGCAGTAGCTGGTGTCGTATTTGAAATTATTTTATAATATTACTTTGTATTTTGCGGTTACTTATCTGTGTACATATTGTATCCCTGCCCTTCCCCACACCCGTCCAGTAAAATGTAAGCTTCTCGAGGGCAAAGGACTGTTTTTGTATCACTGGCATCTAGCAGCAGGGCCTTACACATAGCCAGTACTTGCTGAATTGAATGAAGTTGTTTAATTGCATGTGTATATTAAGTTTCTGGGT